TATTCTGGAGCGACGACGACCAGGTGGTTAAGGGTGGGATTGTGTTGCAGGTTAAGATTGATTTATACCCCGGCGCCAAGTCCATGGCTCTTCTCCGTCCTTGACTCTAGTCTTCACCGATGGTACGGATACTGGCGCGCAAGGTACGGATACCAATATGAGATGTACGTAAAGCGCAGAGCAAGGTAGTAGTAGGAGGGGTAAAAGGCGTGGTTAGCTTGCTTGCATCTTTGGGCCCTTGTTCATGTTGATCCCAGGAAGACTAGACTCCAAAAAGTCTGGGCAGTGGCCGCGGTGGACACCGAGAGGGCGGACTGTCCTGTTCGGCGGAGATTACCCGGGTTGTCCGAGGGAATTAACGGCAGTTGTCCTCCTCCTCCTCCACATTGTCCACTTTGCGCCTATGAATCGGTGCTTGAGTCGTATTCGAAGCATGTGTCCATATCTCACCCCGGTCTCAAAGGCCGCAGGATGCATGCTGTCCTGGGATGGCACACGGATTCCCGAGTAATATGGCAGATGAGAAACAAAACGTCGAGGAAGAGGATGCAACCACTGCACGGTAAAGAACCCGGGGCGCGGTGCGGGGTGCGGGGAAGAGACAGCAAAACCCAGAAGCTCCAAAAGCCTGGCGGGAAACGGACCTGGGCTGGCCTGGCTTCGATGATCTACTGCCTTCGACGTTGCTACCATGCCATCCATGATCCGGTACTTCAAAAGGCGTAGATGACGCCAGAGCTCCAGTCATTGATGATGGATTCGAGACTTGGCAGGGGGGAGGAGGGGATATCCGTGGACACCAAGGTCCGGGCGAGAGGGCATCCCCGAGCTCCGGCTCGGAGGTCAGTTCGGTTCCCAATACCCATTAATTGACTCACTGACAGTTTTGATCAGTAGTTGTCTACTTGATTTTAGATATTAAGGACGACCCTTTAAGCTTAAAATGGCTACAGCCTATGATGTTTCCTAGGGCACAATCAATCGGAGACTACACTTTGAGTACCTAGCCTGGCGGTAGCCCCAAGTTTGTTTCTTTGTCCCCCATTGAGTTTGGCTGTTGGGGGCCCTGGTGGTTGGGTGTGGACAGAGACCCCTGTTCGCATGATGGAACGAACCCATGAGTCGGAAAAGAGTTTACGTCGTTGCGATGTCTGTCCGTCGCGCGGGGAGAAGACCGGAAAAGCGGGTAGAACGGGAAGGATACTTGTCAATCATCATTCCATTAGGGATGGAGAAAGAAGGTTGAATCCTTTGGAGGAGGTTCCCCTCACGAACCATGGGTGTGGGTGGTTGTAGGGATACTTGAGTCAATCAACTCCCGATGCTCAAGAAGCCATGCCGGGTGTTTGGTGAGAGGAAATAACACGGCGGGGTACATGGCAAGTTCGCCGGCCACACCCAAAACTCTCCGATAGCATGATATACGCCATAGACGTGAAGAGAGGGAGAAGCAAAAGAGAGTTATCGTGACGAGAGCCATTCAGCCCATCATCAAAAAGCAACGAGTGACAACTGTGAGATTCGAACTCACGCCTCTTTCGAGACCAGAATACGCCCCGCTTATGGGGAAGTTACCATTTGATGGGAAACTTGAGTCTGGCGCCTTAGACCGCTCGGCCAAGTTGCCGTGTGATTCGTTGGACGGTTGGCGACGGCAGCAGATTCAAGGCCCGTCTACGAGAGGATCGTCAGCGTCTCCAGTCTTGATGACAGCTTGGCGGTCCTACCGGCATGATGGGAGTGACTTTTGTCAGTTTTCATCTCTGTGATCGATGCTCCAAGGCGTTATTCTGGATCTTGGATTCGTGGCTCGATGTTTCTTCCTTGGTTTGGATCAGATTTGCTACATTTGCAAGTTGTTGCTGGTCTGACCCGTTGAGGTATTTGCTGTGGGGAACTCTCCATGTGTGGGTCTCTGAGACTCGGATAGCTTCTTCAGAGAGGAGCTCCCAAATAGCCTAGAAGGTATTCGCAGCTCATGCCCAGACTCAGCAAGCCGATGTCAGATACCATTGTAGTTTGGTTGACCACGATTCCTCTATTCTTGTTTTCTTGGGTTGGATAACTCCAGTCTCCCTAATGAAGAGACAAAAACCGCAAATCAAGGAATGGTAGTGGTTCAAGCCTGAACCTCTTTGATGCGTCTCGTCCACCGAAAGGCCGTAAATCTATTCCCAAGTCTATCATCATACCAAAATAGTCGAATAACCAAAGAAACAAGCCGTCTTGAATCATGAAGCAACCTTCCAGATCTAGCAGTCGGGCACACTAACAGGGATATTAAACGGGACGCTCGTCGCCAAACCACTCAAACTCGTCTCCTTGAACTCATTCCGCATCCCCTTGGCCGTCAACCTCATCGCCCGAATCGCATCGTCAAGCCTCACCTTCTGCGTCCCCGTCTCACTGCTCAACGCCAAATTCGCGCTCGAGATCGCCTTGATCGCGCCCAGCGCATTCCTCTCGATACAAGGCGCCTGCACCAATCCGCCGATGGGATCGCACGTCAGACCGAGGTTATGCTCGATGCCAATCTCGGCCGCCTGCTCAATGGCCTCGGGGCTGGCGCCCATGCACGCCGCGAACGCGCCGGCTGCCATGGAGCACGCGACGCCTACTTCGGCCATGCAACCTCCTTCCGCGGCGGAGATTGTGGCGCCGCGCTTGTAGAGCATGCCGATGGCTGCGGCGGTGAGGAGGAAGGTGGGGATGTCGCGCTCCGGGTCGTCGGAGATGAATTCGATGGTGTATTTCAGGACGGCGGGGATGATGCCCGCTGCGCCGTTTGTGGGGGCCGTGACGATGCGGCCGCCGGCTGCGTTTGTTTCGTTGACGGCGATGGCGTAGACCGTGAGGTAGTCCATGGTGGGAAAGGTTGTGCGGCGGGAGGGGGAGGGGGTGATGGGGTGGTCCAGGGAGCCTAGGATCCGGGGCGGTTGGCGGCGGCCTACGCTGAAGCCGGGGACATTGGATTTGTTGATTGTTGCCGGGGTGGATGCGGAGGAGAAGCCGGGGAGGGAGGCTTTCTCGCCGGTGGCCTTGTCCAAGGGGTTGGGGGATGTGTGGCCGGCGGTGGAGTAGAGGCCTCGGGTCAGCCTCCGGTAGAGGGCGGGCGCGCGGCGATGGAGTTTGAGGGAGCCGGGGAGCTTGGTGTCGAGCGGTGCCTGGACGCTCTCGAGGATGCTCGTGTCCATGACCTGCCAGATCTTGAAGAGCTTGTGGTAGATCTCCTCGTCCGTGTACCCGTGGCTCTTTTCGTTTTCGTACACGAGCTGGGCGATGGTGAGGTTGTGCTTGCGGCAGAGCGCGAGCAAGCTGGTCGCGTCACGGAAGGGGTAACGGGGGCCAGACGGCTCGTTGGTAGAGCTCTCGGATCCTTCGTGTTCATCGACGCCGTTTCCGGTTGTCGAAGCGATGGGGGAAAGCACATCGCCTTGCGCGCCCTCGAGCAGCATCGGGTCTTCCTTTGCTTCGTCCAAGGGTTTCACCTCGGCGCCCGTCCGACGGTCTCCCGCGGCATCGGAGCGGCGAATCTCCTTGTAAAACATGTTCTCCGCCAAATCAGCCGGATGCCTTCCGGCAGTCTCGCCGTCTGGGCTTTCCACCTGCGTCATGGACGAGGACGATGCCGGCGATGCGTCCGGGTTGATAGACAGGGCACCGTTGACGACGAACCCTCCGCCAACGCTAAACATGTCGTTGGTCGCCAAGACGTAACCCTCGTCATCGAAGACCGTGAACCGCATGCCGTTGCTGTGCATGGGCAACTTGCGACCCCATTCCCAGACGAAATCCCGCTCATAGTCAAACGCGACCTCCTTGCCCTTGCCGTCCGAGAGACCCTGGCCCAAAAAGAGCTTCTTGCTCGCCTTGATCTCGGCAAAGCGCTCCGGCACGTAGGCCGTGTCGACGGTCTCCACATCGGCGCTTTCGAGGCCGAGAAGCAGGGCCGACGGCGTCATGTGGCCCTCGCCTGTCAGTGCCAGGCTGCCGTAGATGGAGACGCGGATCTTGTTGACCTTGTGCAAGAGATTGGCTTCCGCTAGGTCGGCGACGAAAATGTTGCCGGCGCGCATGGGGCCTACGGTGTGAGACGACGAAGGGCCGATGCCAATGGAGAATAGATCAAACGTTGAGATGACGGCGTGCTCGTGGTCCGCTTCGCTGTAGCTTCCCGCATCTTCCTCATCTTCCGCAGCGGAGGCGGAGGCGGATTCATTGCGGCGCTGTGCTGTAGTTCCGAATAGCCTCGTCGACTGAAGACCTGTGAATACTCCTGCTGCTGCTGGGCTTCTTCCAGTGTGTCGGATCTGGTGCCGAGTTGTCGGGTTGTTGGCCGAGAGTGTGGTGTAGTTGGGGCCGGCGAGCCGCGTTGAAGCGCGTCGAGCCGATGACGATGCCCCACGCAGCTGGGCGAGCCGCTGGATAGGACGGCTGCTCATGGCTGTTGCTGGAACGAGCAACGCCGGTCAGTTGAATGACTATTATATGAGCTTGAGATGTCTTTGTGAGCACAATGAGAGAGAGGAGAGAAGTTTCTCAACAACGGGTCATTTGTGTAAACTTTTGCGTTTGACAAGGCGGTCTAGGGGTTGCCCTGAGAAAGAGATAAGAGCCCAGAGCACAGATACAAAAGAATGCTGGCGCTGCTGCGTGCTGCCACTCATCATCCCTGGCAGCCGGATCCCGATGGTCTGGGGTAAGACACAAACAGATGGTCGCATTGACCAATCATTCGCCGTAGATTTGTAAACTCCACCGAGGGGCATCAGGGTAACGTAATGGTTTGGTGATGTTCTTGTCTACTCGTGGAAAACCTTGTTGTCTCTCTCGCTGAAACTGCCGACAGTTGTCGTTCATCGTAAAGATGCAACATGTGAGATGGTTGTATCCGGAGGTATTATTGCGGTGTTGGTTGGATGAGAGGAAACTCCATGCAATAGGCATCCATATTCAGGACCAGCCTTATCGTTATTGGATGAGTGCAATGTCGTAAGCCACGTTAAGCCTGTTCGGGGAGGTCCCTCACCAAAGGATCGGAGGAGGGGTGGTGGTGGTGGTCAACGCTTTTGATGCCACGCAACATCTCACCTCAGATTCGGGTAGTTTCAGTTTGATGCGATAATATTCACTTCATCTTATTCTAGACTACCTCACCCTCATAATTCGTCTCATTCTGCAATCGCCAACCATGGCTGAACCGGAAGATGATGGCGGGGATACTCACTCACCCGAGATTGAGACCACAGGCATGCATGAGCCTCACACGGCCGCCACCAAATACGCACCTCATCCACAACCACAATCAGCCTTCTTCTCATCTCTCCCACTCGAAATACGCCAAAACATATATAGCCACTTATGGCAAGCCCACGGATTAATTCAACATGTGTATAAATCCAGCGCCTCCGCTCTAGCGCCCTTATCTCACTGCCCGTGCATCGCCGACCTGGACGCTGAAGACATCCGTGAAGACGAACTCTCCCGCGTGCTCAATACGCCGGCTGCGGACCCGGCGACTTTGCAAGATGGCGTGGGACCCGGTTCCGAAGAAGAACGCGAGGCGATTCAAAATTGGCGCTTTCGTATCGTTTCGTCGTGGTGTAACCACTGGAAGTGTGAAGAGGAGCCGCCTATTCTGCGAGAACTTCAGCAACTCTCACTCGGAGACGGCGATGAGGGGGAGGAGACGGGTGAGACATCCAAAGATAAACGTCGTCAGATTCTTGTGAAGGAGTTCAGCCCGTTCCTCGCTACCCTTCTCACGTGCAAACGCATGCATGAAGAAGCCATCGGCTCCATCTACAACGACACAACCTTCTCCTTCATCAACACAGAAGCCCTCACCCGCTTCCTCGACACCACACTCACCGCCTCCCTAGCCCGCATCAAAAAGCTCCACTTCACCTGGCGAGCTCCGATAGAGACATACATGGATCGGGAAGCAGACGAAGTCATCGCCGAGAGAATCAAATGGGTCGACACGTGGACATCCGCCGCCGACAAACTCCCGCGCCTACAGGAGCTCCGGATCTGGGCGTACCCGTACTACGCACGCTACCCAACTCCGTTTGAGGAGTGGTTCGAGCCGCTGCACCTGTTTGGGAGGCACACGATGCCTTCGTCGCAATTCCACGTCTCGTTACGCTGGTTCCAGAATAATTTGCCGGAGATGGATACGGGACCGTTGGACTTTTTGGAAGCTGCGCCGTTTGGGTATGAGATGGTGCCGCCGTGTCAGGAGAATCCGCTGCATTTTCACTGGAGGAGATTGATTGGGTTGGGGCCGGATGAGCCGAGGGTGCCGGTCACGAGAAGGCAGAGGAAGAGGAGGTATGTTGGGAGGGCTTTGTAAAGATTTGGGGACAGACTTGGAAGCTTTTGACGTAGGTAGCGTGGAAAGTATCTCTATGAAGGCGATAACTCTGTGTGGAAGTGTACATTCGCATCGGTAAACCCTTCCGGTCTCAAGGCTTGATCCCCGAAATGACAGAAAGCAGTAAGCCATGCGTAGATGGTGGCAACATTTCTTATAAGTTTCTAGGGGAGGAGCAAATTTATGATGAACATGAAATTTTTGATTTGGAAAGATTGGAACAGGCTATATGGTTCTAAATATCTACATGTAACTGGGAACGCTCAAAAGAAACCGCTGAAAACAATGAGGCTCATTACATGTATTGTTACACGCTCAAAGATCAACGCTTGGCATCGCAGAGTGCGATGCACAAATATTCTCCTCTCGACAGGTCGTCCGCTGCTCCAAGTCTGCGGTGCCAGTTGTCTCGGCCAGAGATATGACACGAAGCAAGTCATGGGCAAGGCTCGTCAGAGTAGTGGTCAACTCCTCCAAGACGTCACAAACCTCGCTACTCCCATTCGCCTCTTCCGAAGTTAGAGACCCTAGCTCACCAAGACCCTTCTTGCAAACATCAATAGCCTCATGGATTTGGTTGATGGGCTCCTTGTGCAGCCTCTGGATCAGACCCTCGCTCTCGTCGAGTAAGGAATCAGAGCCATTGGAGCCGGCGGCTTGCATGTAGCGCTTACAGCCGTCTTTCAGGTCTGAAAATGCCTTTCTCAACAGCGTTTGTGTCTTGGCTACGCTTTCCCTCAGCTCTGAAGCGTCTCCGTACTCGCCATTTGCGGCAATGTCTGACAGAATGGCCATCACACCGTCCAGTCCATCGGCGAACACGAGCAAGGCATCCTCATACACGTATACCGGGACGGATCCGCGGTTCCCGTCAAAGGCCGCATTATTGGTGAGCGCATTTTGCATCCTCACCAGGGCATCCGTCAGTTTCGCTGACGTGATCTGAAGAGTGCTAAGGTCTCTGGGACATTTGGCTGGAGGTAGACGTCCAATGGCGTAATGCTGCAGATAGCCCCTGATTTCCTGGGCGTGCGGCCCGCCGTGCGTCTCGGCGAAGCGCACGTCGGCGATGGTGCCGGCTGACTCGAGGAGCGTCTTTGGTCCACCTGGGTGGATGGTGAGGAAGGGCGTCAGGTCGTAGACAGTTCCTTCGATGGCGGCCCAACTTGAGTTGATGGAGTTGTGGGCTGCGAGCTCGGAGGGGGTAATGATGGGCAAGGAGGAAGAGGTCGTGGAAGAGGAAGCCGGTGACTGTGGTTTGGATTGTCTTTTCACAGCGGTGAAGAGATCTTGGTGGAGTCTATCCCAGTGCGCGGGAGGTGAGGGGATGTCTGTGTAGTTGTTCTCCTCGAAGCGTTTTACGCCTTTACCTTCTTGCTGCGGTTGGCCTAGCTCGAGACTGCTCGTCACCGAGGCTCCAAAGTCGGAGCTGCCGCAGACAAAGACGTGGCCGCCCTCATCTTTGACGAGATGATGGATGGAATCCCGGTGTTCTACCAAGTGGCGCATTACGCGTCGTTCTCCCTCGGGAAGCTGGGTCCGGATCCCACCACGGATCCTGAAGTGATGTTCCTCCTGGCTGAGGGCCAGAACGATGGTCAACGGCAAGACCCTAGTGAGATGTTCTAGGTTGTCGAGCGAGCAGGGAACATGGCGGCGTGTCTTGGCAGCGACGACAAGGAGCAGTTCGCCTACATCACCGGTGCTGTCCCGGCGCTGCTGTGCCCATGCCGCCCGCTCGTGGAGGAAGCCTACCAATGGACCAATGCCGCTCCCTTGGCCGATCAGGACTAACGGCACGGCAAGATCGCGTGGCTGGCGGAATCGTAGACTGGGCCATGGGCGAAGACGCAAACGTGTGCCTTGGGCGGCGTTGCTCAAAAATGAGGAGACAAGGCCCTCGGGTGAGTGTTGGCTGACTGTCAGGGTGATCGTCATGCCTCTCTCTCCTGCTGAGTCGGTCGCCACACGTGCGATGGAGTAGAATCTCGGCTCAGCTTCATCTCCCTCACCATCTTCGACGCTCTCATCCGACGACGCGTCATGATCTTCTGAAGGGGTGGAAGCCCGCAACCGTCGCTGGTGAGAAGACGTCCTTTTGAGATTTCTCCTCTTTCTCGGCGGCCAGATCTGCACTCGATCGCCTGCCTCGAGGGGCAACTTGGCATCCAGCTTCACTTCGACCACCGTGCTGCCCTCGTACACCGCCTGCGACTGGATGCGCGCATCCTGCCACAGAGGGCGGCCGCCAAGTCGCGACGCCATGCCAGCCTTCATCTGCATGCTGAGCATAGCCTCGGGCCGCATCTTTGGCTTTCCTTTTCCTTTCTCTGCTGACGGCGAGCCGGCATGTTTACACTGGTCGGTGCTCTTGACGCCGCTGCTCGTCGAGTGTCGTCCTGTATTCAGCGACACGCCCGTGACGCCAATGGCCTTGACGCGGTGACGCTCGAGAAACCAGACGTACATCTGCAGAAGCCCGTCCCACGCTGCCTCGAGGTGGCGGTATTGCGACTGCTCTTCCGAGGAAACATCCTTCGGAGCACGAGCGGCACACGCGGCGACGTAGTCTCTCACGCTTCCGGCCTTGTCGCCGAGAGCATCCAGAAAGGCGCGGATGTTGGCCGGCAGCGTGGCCTTGCGGTCGCTCTGCATTGCCGTCAAGTCGCCCTTGACGTCCTGGCGGCCGATGAAGACATCGAGCGCGTGGAAGAGCGGCGTGTCGGCACCGCTGTTGCCCAATTCGCCGGGAGTGACGGCGCGGCCCATGGCTGGGTACGTCTTGATCCAGACGACGGGGTCAAAGGTTGCCGCGTCACGGAGGGTCATGGCCTCGAAGACGTCAGCGCATTGGACAATGTTGGCTGCCAGGCTTTCGAGGCAGTGCGTGACTTGGTCTGGCTGGTCAGCTAGTACGCCGCTCTGCGCGAGTGCCATGGCGGAGAGAGCGGGTGCGAAGATGCCCTCCATTGTGCCTTGGAGTCCTGAGGAGAGGCGCTCCTCTGGGAGACCAAAGTACGCGCTGCTTAAGTTGAAAGCGGCATTCCCCATGGCGTTGTTGAGGACATCGTCCGCGGGCACCTGTGGCACGTTAATTTCTGCAAACATGTTTGGAGACATCACTTGGTGCACTTACCCGCCCAGTAAGCTTTCTCCCCAATGCCTTGCAGACCCTCTCCCACGGATCGAGAACATGGCGCGGCACCTGAGATCGTCCATCACACCCTTTGTTCTTATCCTGCTCCTCGCCAAACATATAAGCGTGAGCCAGCGCGCTCAACACGAGCGCCGCTCGCGCCAAGTGACGCTGTTCCAAATCATCCCACGCGTCTCTGCCATCTGCAGCTGCGGCACGCTCGCGCAGGCCGTCAACAGCATGACGCACTCGTCGTGCTCGAAGCAGGCGCGGCAAATTGCAATGAACGACCTCCCACGCCTTGAGAGACGCAGGCAAGCGTTGGATCTGGCCCAAGCTTCTTGAAGAATTACTAATATTAGGGTTGATGACGTTGGTTGGGGGCATTGCTTGACATCCAAGGAAGCCCCTGGTGGTGGTGAAGCACCCATCGAGGCCCGTGCCGAAACGGAGTGTTCGTGTTCGTGTCTCCGTGCCCGTCTCCGCTCCGAAGGCCTCGGGGTCCCGGAACTTGAATTCAGTCGACGATGACGTACGTCCGGACAGTGCCGTTGCCAGGGAGGCCTGGGCGAGGAGGAAGCTGGCCTTGGAGATGGGGCAGTCGATTAGTGTTTCGTACGATTCGCTTGTGGCATGTTGTTGTTTTTGTGCCGGAGTCTCCGGCGGCGTGATGATGCCTCCAGCTGAGAATGCTTGGGGCACATTGAGAAAGATTGAAGAATTTTTGGGCTTGATGACATCTTGTTGTGTTTTATTCCGAAAAGAATTTTGTATAGGTGAAGTGGGAGCCGAAAGTGGCGTTGAAGGTCTTTGATAGACAGACATGTTGAGTAACTTGATGAAAGAAGTATTAATGAACAAAATGATATGTAAGTTAGTGTTGTTATAAGAAGGATGAAGAGAAAGGCGAAGTCACTGGTTCCAGATCAGTGGTCACCAAATGTGAGGCAAAATACGTGGACTTCGTGATTCATTAAGCATATAATTGAGAGTTGTTGGTTCTGTCGATCTCCACGAATGTTCAGAATAGGCAAGTGAGTAAATATATGTAAATGTATGCCGAGGGCACCCTGAAAGAAGGAGAGAGATAGAGAGATTCTGCCTCGATCTTGTTACGTATTGCCTATTCCGGGCAACAGCGCTTGAAAGCTTGTGGCATACAATCCATGGCCTCAACTCGGAAATAACCTCAAAGGTATCTTCACAACTTGGCTCTAATTCCGAAAGTATTTCGTATTCAGATGATATCTCCCTCCGCCTCCACATACCGAACCGACGTTTATTCAAAAAACGGCATTTCGTAGTAGTAACCCAGACCCAAGCAAAGCAGACACCCGGCATGATGGATCGGCAGTGCAAAGCAGAACATTTTGTTCGGCAGTGCCCCGACGGTGTGGTTGACAACCGTCCGATCATGCCATCTATACTAGCCATTTTGGGTAGCGAGGACGATTACACACCGTGCACGACCGGGTATTCGGTGCCTGATTGAGTCAAATATGGTTCTCTAGAAATACGAATACACGCTCGTCCAAGCGCAGGATGACGGGGCACCTTGGGCCTTGGCGCAACCTTCTCGCCAACATTAAAGATGATAGAGTTTGAACCTAGGAAAATTATTCTCCTGTGATAATGTCCGATTCCGTCATATGGGAAATTATGCGAGAAAGCTTCCAGCCTTTCAAAGCTCTCACTGCTCTCTTGATCGACTTCAGAAGTTCGGAAGAACCTAGATACATGGCCCGCGGAACTCTTACCGAACCTCCCCGTCCAGCCTCTGATCTCAAGCTGACGGCCCTTCAGGCACACGGCTACGTCAAAACGCCTCTGCCCTGCCCTGCCCCTTGCTTCGGGTCCCTCGGACGTTGCGAATGCGAAAATAGCGACACCCAGTACACTTTCGGCTTCGGGGTTGAGTCTATCGATTATATGAGTTGCCCGTTGGGGAAATCCTTTTTTGGGATACTCGCTTTCCGCCGTACTGTGGTCTTAGTAACAACCCAGGCCATATCTGCTTCAGTTGTCATTTTCACCCCTCATTGTTGAAGAGTCTGGACTCGGACAGTGACGACAACCTCTCTAGAGTCTTCAATATTTCTCCTCAGATCGGTCCTCTGTCCCGGCGATTCGGAGAGAATCCACTACTACTTGTACCATCCGGAACGAAGGAAAGTCAAAAAGCGAAAAAGAGAACAACTTGAACCAGCACGTCCCTCGGAACTTCGGTCTAGAACTCCCCGCTCACTAACAACTCGAGTTCGTCATGTTCCTCGACATCATCCCTTGCACCGCTCACCTAATCAACCTGTCGGTCCTTCAAAGACTTCTCTGGACTCTCGGCCCGGCCATTCTCGGACTTTTCGTCCTACGCACCATCTACTACCTGACCCTCCATCCCCTGGCGGGATACCCGGGGCCCTTACTCGCGCGCATCACCACCATCCCATGGCTCTGGCACCGCGCCCACGGTACCAACCACAGCTGGCCTCTGCTACTCCACAAACAGTACGGCCACGTTGTGCGCATTGGCCCCAATGAGCTGAGCTACAGCCATCCTGATGCCTGGCACGACATCTACGCCAAAGCGGGCGGCGGTGGCGATATGCCAAAGGACTATGTCGGACTGGGGCCGGACATGGCGGCGCCCGAGAAGGGCATCGTGCGGGCCGAGAACGATGCCGACCATCAGCGGCAGCGGCGCTTATTCTCGCACGCTTTTTCCGATCGTGCCGTGCTCAAGCAGGAGAGTCTTGTCCAGGGCCACGTTCGCAACTTGATGAGCAAGCTGGCGGATGAGAACGCGGAGCCTGCTCTAGCCTCTGCTTCTTCTGCCCATGGGGATGGTCGCGTCGACCTCATGATGTGGCTGAGCTACCTCGCCTTCGATATCATGGGCGACCTCATGTACGGCGAGCCGCTCGGCATGCTTGAGAGCGATCATTCGGCGCGCCAGTGGGTTCGCGACACATACTCAACCATCAAGACAGTCACGCTCGGCATGACTATGATGGGTTGGCACGCACCCCTGGGCCCGCTGCTGCTCAAACTCATCTGGGGCGGCAGCAGCGAGCGCCGCGCCCGACACAACCGCTTCTCGACGGACCGTGTCGACAAGCGCCTGGACCGCGGCGACGACTCTGGCAGCGACATCTGGTCCATGATCATGCAGAACAGCGGAAGCGAGAAGAAGCCGGGCATCTCGCGCGCCGAGATGTACTCCAACGCCGCGACGTTCATGATTGGCGGCACCGAGACTACAACAGCCGCCACTTCGGCCCTGAGTTACCTGCTTCTCACACACCCGTCCAAGATGGCCACGTTGCGCGCGGAGCTTGACGGCGCCATTGAGGATTCACTGGAGGACTTGAACTTCACTCGATTGCGGAAGCTGCCCTACCTCAACGCGTGTATCGAGGAGGCCATGCGGGTGTACCCGCCTGCGCCGACACCGATGCCGCGGATAGTCCCTCCCGGAGGTCGTGTCGTCTGCGGCCGCAATGTTCCAGCGGGTACGCGCCTTGACATTCCACTATACGCGATTGCGCACCATCCGGATAACTTTGTTGAGCCTGAGGAGTTCGTGCCTGAGCGATGGCTAGACGACAAGGACCGGCCTGCGAAGTATGCGAGTGATCGGAGAGATTGTGTCAAGGTATTTTCGGCGGGACCGAGAGACTGTATCGGCAAGAAGTGAGTCCACTCCTGTCCTCTAACTTCTTCCCTCATCTTTATTTCCAGAATGAAACCAGTGACTAATCTTGTGCATAGCCTTGCGTACCCCGAGATGAGACTTATTGTTGCCAGTCTATTGTACAATTTCGACCTGGAACTGGCTGACCCTAATTTTGACTGGTTGGACCAAAAGAGCTACGGCATTTGGGACAAGCACCCTCTATGGGTCAAGTTGGTGCCTCGCAAACATGACTAGGCTATGTAAGATTCCATCTGTGATAGGTCAAGTAGGTTATTCGAAATTATACGTATCCATGATTGAGCTGTTCTGCACTATAAAATGAGCTTTTCTATGCTTTCTGGTGCTAGAAACACAATGTGATATGACCAAGCCGCATACCCTGCAGTCAATGATACTCCAATGGCGATGGGGCTCTAAGGTCTGGCTCCTGCGTTGAATTATGTTGTATCTAACGTTCTCCCAGTTTGGAAGGACAAATTAACTGCCATGTTTTCTTGATCAAAATACGTCATCTTTGTACGATAAAGGTTGGCTAGACTCCTACAAAGTCGTCTAATGAAGCTCGTTCCCAAAACTTTGGCCCGAAATAGGCGCTGAACCCCATGCCCTTACCAGAAGAGGAAACCGATGCCATAGTATGCAGGCCTGTTTCTCTATTTTTGCCACTTTTTAGATTGAAGAGAACCACGAGTCAGCATTAACGCTCATACGCATATTAGCCGCGTTGATGGAAGGATAAGAGATCACTCACAAAGCATCTCGAACAGCAGCTCCAAAGTCGTACTTCCCAGATATCATACCCTGCGTCCGAAGGAGTTGCTCGTAGCGCTCAACGACCCCAGGCTCGTCACGGGAATACTGCCAGATGGGCACGTACATTTTCACCTGCGGAACCGTCTTGCCCGGCATCATCTCAAAGGCGAAGCAGAGCCCGCAATACTTGCTGTCCGGCTGGTTGAGCGGCTTTTCCAAGCTTTCCATCTCGGCCGGGGAAACGTCTTCCAAGTCCATGAGTGAAGGCCACACCTGTGGGAGAAAGTCGGCCGAGGAGGCAGGGAGGCGGCCGCCTAGTGTGAAGACGTCACGGGCTGAGGCGAGCGAGTTGGCGTGCGTGTGTACGTAGACCTTGAAGCGAGGCTTCATGGAGAGAGCCAGGCAGTCGATGGCGAGGAAGTAGATGTTGATGTTGTCCTCACCTTGAGAGATGAGATACGTTTTGAGTAGTTCCCACGCGGTTAACATTGCCCGGTCGCCCTCGGCGAGGCGTGTCGTGACGGATTCGGTGATGTCCACCAGCGACCGGCCAGTTGCAAGAACCTTGAGTTGCGGGAAAAGGTACGCTTTCATGCTGATGGTCGCATTCTCCTCGGACTCGAGGTCGAACCCAGCATAGCAAATTTGTCGCGGCAGTGCATCATTAGCTTTCATTTCGACCAAGCCGGTCTCCTCTTCTTCAGTAAGGAGGACAGAATCAAGGAAGCCATCCAGCCAAGTTCGATCCGCATTGCAAGCAGATGCCAGACCCTCCAGCTTATGACGCAGTCCCTTCTGCCCTAGAGGATCATCACCGGCAGGTCCAGAGCTGGACTCCACCAGCGGCTGCACCGTGAATCGCACCTTGGCATCTTTGCGAGATGAGAAGGCGACGCTTGCTTCATAGGGAGAATGATTGTGAGTCAGAATGTAGTTTGTCCTGTCAGACGCCACAGGCGGCTGCTTCAGGCGGGGAACCACGGCTTCGCGCACAAAGGCAAGATGAGCGTCCTGGATGTGAGCTCGGTAGGAGCCCGTCCAGCTAAGGAGCGAGGAAAGGGTGTTGTGGAGGGTAGGGAGCCATGAGGAGGCGGGAGGACCTCCTTTCGAAATCGAAGTATAATTGGAGGGGAGGGCGTCAACTTCGTTGTAGATGTTCCGCTTGGCAGTGCCAATAGCTTGATAGGCCATCGTTGAGTGATAATCTTCCTCTCGAGGCTATTGAGGTCGAAAATTGATATCCTAACTCTCTGGCGTTTATCCGTAATCACGTTGACTTTTCCGCTTTGATGGTTAGATCTGGCTTTTTGGGTGCCTCGAGTCACCAAAGCTCCTATATTGGAGCTTGCTTGAGTCACTGTTTGCTGGGCCTGTATGTGTCGAATGCTTAAGTTGACAATGGGTTGCCTCTTTAGGTATCTCAATCGGTTGTTGCAGTTGAGAAAAACCAACGCTCTACTAAGGCTAGGTCATTTTCGGAAAGCGAATGCGAAAGCGTACGGCTTGCAGGCACGGCCAAACTCATTACTGATCAGGGTGTGTCTGGGTTCCTGAGGTTAAGGGGCGAGGGCCTGGTCTAGACATGGAATCCAGAACTGGATGATGGGCATCTCGATATGACGTGATTTGTGACAGGGCTGGACTTGAAGTTAAACTACATGTTTCATGCGGAACACGCGGAAGGTAAGATTCTTGTTCGGGCGGGCGGGCCACCTCGACGAACTGGTGGGATGTTCACTTATAGTTTGGGATGTATCTGGTTTGTAAGGTTGACGGGCGTGACGGGTCCACGGGCCCTAACCTTGATGCATGTGAGAACGCTTTCCTCATGCAAGGCGGGGATCTCCCCGTATAGTTGGCCGCTTACGGATATGCCTTGAATAATCGGCCCCGACGGCGTCGGAGTTCGTTCTCCAGAACACCTTGGCCGCCGGCGCGGACTGAAAGAGAAAATCTGCCCCGCGCGGCTCTATTCACAATTTGACGTGAAGCAAAGGAGCTTTGAAGCAATATGCTGTTTTCATCTACCTTTGAATTGTAGAAACAATAATCTTGACAAGGCCAAGGTGTAATGGGGACGACTAGAACACAGCGATTCCTGATTCGTGAGAACACCGTGTGAAAACAGTAAGTCTAATAGACTTTGCGTTCGGACAATCGGACCATATGGCAACCACCGCCGCCATCTTTAATCTCGCATGGTAACCGAGCTCTCACGATAGCCGACCGGTCACGAATACGAAGCTTTACAGACTGACTCAAAGTACCTCACTCTCAGGATAACCATTAAAGCTCTCTAGAATATTCATAGCTCAGAGCCCCCTGCAATGGAATCACTGATGCCCGGGACTATTACTCATATCCCTACAAGAAAACGTCATTTACATTGATACAACACAAGCAGTGGCGAGCCCGAAGTCCGTTGGGCTTCCTATCATTACTATCCCTGAGCTATATCACCTCAACTTGCAAAGCAAATTGCAGGTAATATCCTGGCTTCAAGAGTGAATCAGGTGAAAAAAAACACAGAAAAGTGATACGCAATACCAATACGTCAACAAGTACCAGGGGTAGGAGACGTTCGTCACTCTTAGTCAACATGGCCATCGGCATCGCTGAGCAAAATGAACAAATCACATACCTCCGCTCGGTTCTGGCCGTCTTAACCACCTCAACCAATGACCTCATCGCCGAGCTGTCTTCCTCTTCGGCCGGTAAGGCTACAGTCAGCAACGGAGCAAAGATGAACCATGATGTTCGAATCCCGAGAACTCCCAAGGCCGAGGAGGCCCGTAAACGCGTCATCGCTGCCACGGCCTCGCTCGAGGCGGCAATCTTGACGCCCCAATGGCGTCTCGGCCATCTGGCCCACAGCTACTACATTTCTCGCGCGCTTCACATGGTCGTGGAGTGGGAGATACCCCAGCTCCTGGCTGCCAATGGCCCCATGAAACTCGATGCTCTCGCTTCTAAGACAGGCATCGCCGACCCGAGCAAGCTGGGGTTTGTTATGCGGACTCTCTGCGCCCACCACATCTTTTCCGAGACCTCTCATGATGTCTTCGCCAACGATGAAGCGTCCTCGGCCCTCGCCACAGATGAACGTCTCGCCAACTCTGTTCGCTTCGCCTCTTTTCTCTTCCCAACGGCCGATGTGCTTCCTGGACTCCTCAAGGATCCTGTTCTTTGCGCCAGCTACGAGCCGCGAGACTCGGCGTTTGCCAAGAGCATTGGTAAGGGTATGGGGCAGTTCGAGTTTCTCAACGCGCACCCCGAGTGGCGCGACTGTTTCGACTTTTGGCTCGCTTCCCTGGGCGAGTATCTCCACGGCCTGACCGATGTGCGCGGGTATCCCTGGGAAACCACCCTTCGGAACGGCGCCGTGGTCGTTGATGTTGGTGGCGGACTCGGCAGCTCAATCCAGTCCTTGCGTACAAATTTCCCTCACCACAAGAACGACTTTGTCGGTATCGTCCAGGACCAGCCTGGCATGATCGCACACGCTACAACACACTGGAATAAGACAGATCCGCAGGCGTTGACCTCGGGCGCGGTCAAGCTCACCCCCCACGACTTCTTCAACGAAAACCCTGTCAAGGGCGCCGACGTGTACTGGTTCCGGTCCGTCATTGTCGACTGGCAGGATAAGGACTTGACCACCATGTTCACGCACATTAGGAACGCCATGACACCTGGGAAGTCGCGCCTGCTTATTGGCGAGTACATACCACACCCGACGTGCGGCGACGCTCTGCTTCCTGATGCGCCTGCCCCATTGTTGAAGAATTACGGAGCGTTCCAGTCCATGGGGCTCATCGGAGGGTTTGTTTTGACTGCTAGTCCTAACGGTCGACAGAGGACTTTTCAAGACTTGGATCGTGTTGTCAAGGCGGCTGGATTGAAGATTGTCAAGGTGTGGATTTGCCGGGGTTTGGGAAATGTCATTGAGTGTCGACTGAGGGAGGATCGCGTGACTGGCACGAATGTTAGCCATTAGTACTTCAAATAGGTACCAGACTTGTTGAATCAATCTCTCGTTTGAAAGATCGCTTGAGAATGATTTCCAACGACGAATTCTCCATTCATTTGGCATACGAGCATCTCCATCAATCTTGGTGTGGCGTGCGGCCATCTTCTATAATTTTACTCCCTGTTTCAAACGGTCCAAGACCGATTATTTCGTGATTTTACAACTAATAAGCCGTGCTTTAGGACGATGGTCCAGCAAGCAGTGAGCGGTACGGAGTATACAGCCTGTTGATTGTATCATTCATGCTGGTCGTACTCGAGCCCATATGTGAGTATCCCAATACTAAGTAACTACCTCAAGATTCAAGATGGGTCTTTCAAGAGAACTGTACAATTTAAGCTATTACTCCAACCAAGCATATTAACCTCCTCCCATCAAATCCAATATTGAGGAGTCACAGGCGACCTTTGCATGGAGAAATCGCGAATATCAACATCCCGGTTCCCCTCTTCGCCCTCACTCAAATACCCCAACTCTGCTTCCTTGCCAATTATTTGAGCATCGTCGGCATTCTCCAAGTCATCATCCCAGTACTTCTTTCCACCACCCCCAAGCCCCTGTAAGCCGCCGTGAATGGACGACCGAAGTGATCCAAGAACCTTGCCAGCTCGCGTGGTCTGAGAGGACCTTTCCGCTTGCTTCTCCGACTCTTCCATAGGAAACTTGGGCGGAGGTTCTATGTTGCTACCATCTTGGGGAGATGGCGATGTTGATGGTGATGCATTGCCATTATCTTTCTTTGGCTTGGGCACACGGATGTAATACAACCCGAAAGCAGCAATAGCATTGAAGAAGACGTACGCGAACAAGATGCCCAAGTCGCGCCAGCGGTTGCTGAACTCGACATGTACCCCTGCCAGGACCTGATTCGTATTGTTTGTCGTGCAATACTTGCAGTTGTCCAAGACAGTGAGATCAGCGAGGTATCCGCCCGCCTGGGCAATGAAGGGCTGCAAGTACTCGCCGCACGTCTGTCCAAGAGGCGGATTCACGAGCAGGAACTCGTTATCGGCACATTGGATCTTGGCGTTCGCAAGACCGGTACCCAGTAATCCCTCGACGAGATAGGTGAAGGGGTTGACGCGGTACACCCATACCCAGAACTTGGGTGGCGTCCCGAGGATACCGTTGAAGATGAACATCATAACAAACAAAAGATTGCCGACGCCTGCGGCCTGGTCGGCGAGGTCGAAGGCCGCCCCAATCATGTACGCAAAGGTACTAGCTTGCAGGAAAAAGACGAGCATGAACAAGACCGCAAGCCCACCACGAGCTGCGGTTTCGTTTGTCTCTGCTGCGTTGCGTTGGAGCCCGACCAGATAGTACCATGCTACAAACGCTGGCGGGGCCATGAGCGCGTTATAGGCCATCTCTACAACCATTTGAGCGCCCATGAAAGCGGCCCACGAGTATGTGCGCGAGGGCTGCTCACGTCCTTCATAGAGTGTGCGCTGGGACACGAATGTGGGGACAATCTGTTGTGTCAGGTTGAGGTGCGTTGTGAGGAACATGAAGATGGCGATGGTCTGGATCGTGATGCCTGTCTGCGTGTTGGGTAAGTTGAGCAGCGAGAGGCCGATGAAGAGAGCCGAGCCAAAGGTCAAGAGCAATTTTGCGTAGACGTAACTTGGGGTGCGCCAGTAGTGCTTTGCCAATCGCCTGGTCACCTCGGAGAACTGAGTGATTACAGGAGCGGCGAAAGGGGGATCGTTCTGTGGCTGCTGTTGTTGTGCTGCGCCTTGGTGTTTTGTTTCTTTGAGTTTTGCCAGATGAGCCTTGACCTCTTCATACTCGGTGCTTTGTCGCCATACTTCGGGCCAGTCCACGTCGCTTTTCCCGCTTCCGCTAGCCTTGACTTGTTCAAGGATGTACTCGGCCGGATTCTTCCCCTTCTTGGGTCGCGGTCCGCCATTGCGGATAAAGTAGTCGACCAGGACCTTGGCGTTGCGCCCAATCTGGCCAAAGTAGACAGTCCTTCCGCCTCGAGCAAGGAGAAGAAGTCTGTCGAACCTCTCAAAGAGCTGTCTTCATGTTAGTAGTGTACTAGTCACTGGAAAAGGGGAACAGAAGAGAACTTACAGTCGCTGAAGGCTGGTGAATTGTGCACAAGATAGCCTGCCCGTTTTGTCTCAACGTCTCAAGCAAAGTGCAGATCGATAAGCTTGTCTGAGAATCCAAGCCCGAGGTAGGCTCGTCCAAAAACAACAGAAGTGCAGGACGAGCAGCCAGTTCAACACCGATGGTAAGCTTCTTGCGCTGCTCAACATTGAGACCCTCTCCGGGGACGCCGACGACGGCATCCGCATACTCTTCCATACCCAGGATCTCAATCACCTTGTCGACGTATGCAATCTTCTGCTTCTGGGAAAACCGGGCCGGTTGGCGGAGAATGGCGCTGAAAGTGAGTGCCTCACGTACCGTTGACGTGAGAAGGTGTTGGTCCTGCTGCTTGACGTAACCCGTCTTCTGCTGGAAGGAGGCGTCGCGCGGAGCACCATCAACGAGCATCTCGCCCGTAACCACACCGACAGACAGACGCGAGGCGAGGGCATCGAGGAGAGTAGTCTTGCCGGCGCCAGAAACGCCCATGAGGGCAGTGAGCGTTCCCGGCTTGCACCATCCGTCTACGCCATCCAAAATGCGTTTCGTCTCCTTCTTCTTGAGCTTGACTTCGTAGCAGACATTGCTCCAGTGGAATATGGCCGTCTGACGGTCAATGGTCAAGTCGGCATTGTCGTCAGCGTCATGGCCGCTGGGGGCTTCTGTCTTCCCCTTGGTGATTTGGTCCTCCACGTCTCTAGTTGGCTCTCCCGTCCGCCTTGTCGGGACTTTGCCCCTAGGGAAGACAAGCATCTCCCCTTTACTCTTCGCGCTACTCACCATCTCTGTGGCAATGAGATGCAGAACAAGATAGGCGACTGCAAATGCAAAGACAATACCGACGTTCCGCCATCGATGGCTGTCCATATACCGAAATGCGCCGGTGATGTACTTGCTTCCGTTGATGAATGTCTCGCCCGGCACGCCTCCCTGCGCGGCACACACGCGCGTCCGAGCCATCATGGTCATACTCGCGGCGTCCATTTCGTAGTTCGGACCAAATGGGACAAAGGTCTTGCAAGGAAACTTGCGCCCGTCGCCGAGTTCATTGATCATTAGAGCCTCGAACCCGTAAGACACAGGGCTGAGCGTGGCGATCCATTTGGCGTATGGCTTGATGTACGCGGGTGGGACAGCGAACCCGGTGTAGAGCGCCAGCGTGAGCAACACGATGGTTGAAGGTGCCTGGGCCGCCGTATGGCTCTTTGTGACGGAAGCAACTAGTCGGAAAAGTAAGCTCACGGCCAGGGTCATAGCGAACTGGACCAGCACGAAGAACACAAAGGACCCGGCTTCGTTGCGCATGTTACACATCCAGTAGAAAATTGTATTGACCGTGATTGCGTTGAGCAGCTTATACGGCAAGCTCATAACCAGATCGGCAACAGCCTCGGCTGAGGCGTGATATAAGGCGTACCGGACATGCTTCTCGACGATGGCGCGCTTAGCGTACAAAGCTGGCACCTCAAGCACGCATCCAAAGGCGTTAACCAGAGCAGCGGTAAAGAGAAACGTGCTGCGCGACTTGATGGACTCGGCCGTGTCGGGCAGACGGAAGAAGACACTGGCAACGATGAGAGTCTGGAAGAGGTTAAGAACGAGCATCATCACCGTCATCTGTGGCGAAGCCTTGAGCAGCGCGAGTGCGCGCCATAGACATAGGAGGACCTGGCGTGGGTACGAGAGGGTGTAGGGGGACTTCCATCGTTGCATCCAAGACTGATCACTCTTCTTACTCTCGAGGAATTCGGCAAAATGTGTGCGTGAGTTGCGCGGGCCACTGCTGCTCAAGGAAAAGGATGCGTCGTAGGAGTCTAGTTCCTCGCCGAGCTTGTGGCGGAGACTACTCGTCCGCCACGCCTCGGCGAACTCGTCCGGAGTACGCGGGACCTTTTGCTCGTAGCCGGGCTTGACGATGCCCTCGCGCTCGGCTGGGCTGGTCATGGATGTCAGGAAGTCCGGTGTCGTCTGGATCTTAGGACAAACGAAGCCCAGCCGCTGGAAATAGCGTTTGGCTTCCGTCGTCTTCCCAAAGTAAATCTGTCGTCCTTCGTAGAGAACCAGTACTTTGTCAAATAGCTCGTAGGCCTCCTCGGGTGCTTGGTAAATGGCTACCATGCTCACCATGCCCATGATATCGCTCTGGACGCGCAGATTTTTGCAAAGGTCGACAGTCGCGGCGCTGTCGAGCCCGCGCGTGCTGTTGTCCCAGCACTGGATCGGCGCGAAACTCAGCGCCGCTTCAGCAATGCTCACACGCTTGCGCTCGCCACCAGATACGCCGCGTACTGTGTCGCCATCTGTCCCGCCAACTGGTGTCTGCATCGTGTGCTGGATCCCCAGCATGGCCATAGTCACGTCACGCACCCAGGTCGCATACTCGTCTGCAGAAAGCCCAGCGGGCCGAGTCCTAGGAGCCCTCGCCCTCGCGGCGAAAAAGAGTGTGTCTGCTACCGAGAGTGCTGGAAAGTGAACGTCCTCTTCGGCAGTGTAAATGGCGTCGCCTTTGAAGTACCGCTTCATCTCATCGGCACTCACGCCGCGGTAGTTGAGGTGAGAATCCTCCGCTACCTGGGTGCCTTGCGTGTCTCCCGCCATCGTACGCAAAAAGGTCGAACAGCCACTTCCAGGCGGACCCAATACGCAAAGCATCTCGCCATCGTTGACGACTCCCTCGAGGTCATGCAGGATGCGCACCTGTTGACGCTTTAGACGCAATAAGCCACGCATGGCCCCAGTGGCCTTGAGCCACCACGCGTTGCCCACCGTTGTTTGAAAGGCCGTGTCGGATCCGTAGCCCGAGACGTTGAGCTTGCGATAGGCGACGCCGGCCTTGCGCACTTCGCAGCTGTCGGAGCGGAGGCGATAAAATGCCTTGGCCCATTCCCGGGCGTCAAAGTTGTTGCCAAAGGGGTCGAGGGGCCCATCTTGCTTGGGAGCCTTTGAGACGTCTAGCACAGAGTCGCTTTGGGTCGAAAATAATGAGGCTTCGCCATTTTGTTGTTGTTTCTCGAGGAAAGACTTTGCTAAATCGACGAGATCTGTAATGGCTTTGTATTCGTCCGCAGATATGTGTACAGATCTAGGCCGATTGTCACTGGGAGGTGGAGCGCCTGGAAAGCTAAGAAGAGAGGCGCGATGCCGAGATGGACGCAAAGACCGTGGAACTGGCCGCTCGTTCTCTGCCTTTTCGTCGGTGGAGAGTGCGTTAGACATGGCTGTAGTTGACCGAAATGCAGACGTGTCTAGCTGCAAAAGCCGGTTTGGCAAAACGTTATTATCGAAGTCCACTTGTATCAACCTCAACTCTCTGGGTGTTTCAACGGGAAAAAAAAGTGAAGCTTCAAGTGAGTTGCGATATCAATCTTGGATCAGTTGAATTGTCTTTGAAGAATTATATTACTGAACATGCAGTGACCATGACCACATGGCTCTGAAAACACATGTGTCAGGCGCTAAATGCCTGCTAATACCTATCATTAAGTATTTCGAGTGCTGGTCTGGACCATGCCGAAGTGACTGCTCAGACAGGACTGTTTAGATGGGATGGATCGCTGAGGTGTGGCAGCAAACTACAACGGCTGCAGACAGCACGTAGGGACGGGATTTCGCGTCTAAGCCCGGCCCTTGTTATCTAGCGTCGGGAGTGACTCCGACTGGGACGAAAGTTTAAAGAACCTAAAACGGAAAGCAAAGTCCCTGGCCATAGTTTGGGTATCTGAGTATAAGGTTGGGAATGTGTAAGCAGCTAGAAGGAAATGGATGCGAGCTTGGCGAGTACGGAGTATTCGAATAGAATTTCCCGCCCGTCCGTTGGAACGGATGGCCCGGCACATGGAAGCAAGCAACCCAGTGTGAGCCGCATAGAGCTTTGACGCTCGCTGTCAACGCGCGACAAACCTTGTTTGACCGTGATCTTGAGTTTAAACGTCGATCAAGAGGGGGGTTACGGATACGGGAGCGAAAGGCTGTCTTGACATCATGGGAATCCGTCGACTTGGGAACTGATTGAATTCTTAGAGCACTGACGCAGCCAGCGGCAACCGGCCTACTTTACGCTCCCGAGAAAGGCAGAACCGGCCGCCAAGGTTTATGATGACAGCGTAAACTCTGTTATGCGCCAGACTCAGAACAGTAATACTGACCGATATCTCCCTTGAACTGTTGTATGCCGGGTGAAAGTCTCCATTGAGATCGGTAAGACTGACTGTCACAGAAGAGCTAGGCTGCTTGGTGTCAATCGTTTTGTGCAATGAAGAACTTGAACTAACCTGTGGCCCATGCAACGCTGGCCAATCACACCAGGGAGATTTCCCGCAAGAGACCTGGTCGGATCATGGAATATAACTTCAGTAAGAATGGTCTATGCCAAAATATGTACCCTTCGGTATAGTAAAGTTCGCACTTTGATCTTGGTGGAAACAGAAGAGGACAAAAAAAGCATAGACCTATTAGCTGCAGCCAAGGTAGTCAAAGAGAGATCAGACGCTCAACCTTTTAAAGGGGTATTGGGATATCCCGCATCACATTATTGTCATGGTCGAAGAGTAACATCATATCTTCTCCGTATTCATCTATAGCCATACGCGTAAGTAGGTGATTGTTATCAAATGACTGTGATATCACAAGTGACCTTACTTACGTATATGTTCCTTGGCACTAAGACACAATCAGAAAATGGAAAAAACACGCGTCGTCATCGCAGGTGCAGGACCGGTGGGCTTGTTCACAGCCTTTCTTCTCGCCCGCCAAAAGATCGAGTGCATCATCCTGGAGAGACGCCACAACGTATCAGAACACCCGAAAGCCCACACCATCAACCCGTCGACGCTTGAAATCTTCCGCCAAGCTGGTTTGGATGTGGCCTACATCCGACAACAAGCAGCCAACCCAAAAGATGCCGGACATGTTCGGCTTGTCTACGGCCTAGTCGATGCCGAGATTGGCAGCTTCCCATACGAACGTCAAGACGACGAGATGCACAACTTGACGGCTGAGCCCTTGGTGAACTGGCCGCAGCCGCAGCTGGAGCGGCTGCTTGAAAAGGCTGTACTTGAGACGGGCCTCGCTCAAATCAAGAGGGGGTGGCAGGTCGATTCTGTCGACATCACCGACACAGAGGAAGCTGGCTGTGTTGTCTCATGTAGCACTTCCACTGAACGCGGAAACGACGGCAACACTAAGAGACACAGCATCCAGGCTGAATTCATCATCGGGGCCGACGGGGTAAACTCGACTGTGCGAGCAAAGACAGACGGCATCGACTTCGAATCCATGGGACCAGGCCACGTCTACCAATCCATCGTCTGCAAAGGCAGTCTACGCGCCGCGCTCCCGCCGGGCCGCGAGGCCATGCTCTACTTTTGTTTCCATCCTGAGCACCCCAGCGAGTTTATCGCACACAACCTTGACGACTCATTTGTCCACGTTACGCCCGTCATGGGCCCCGTGTCAGAGGTACCACCAATCGAGGCCTGTCTCCCGGGTCTGCAGTACTCGGAGGTCCTCCGTACCACCTGGGAGACGGCACCACGCGTGGCATCATCGTATAGCGACGCCAAACACCGCGTATTCCTCGTGGGCGACGCCGCGCATAGCTTGCCGCCTCAAGGTGGCCTGGGTCTCAACACGGGCATCGCAGACGCACATAACTTGGTATGGAAGCTGGCTTCCGTTATCAATGGGAAGGGCACCGAAAACCTTCTTGGCAGCTTCACTCGCGAGCGTAGACCCGTCGCACTCGCGAATCTCGAGTACTCCAAGGCCAGTGAGGCGGCTTTCTACTCCGTCAGTACCTCTCTCGTTGGCCTCGCTATTCAATTCCAAGAAGCAAAGGCACAAGAAGCTCCGGCATTGGATCTCACCATGGATGCGTTCCTCCAACGCCGCGCCGTTTCCGCTGCAGCGGGGGCAGCTGTCAAGGAGGCCAGTAGACACTTTGACTCACTTGCCCTCCAGCTTGGGTTCGTCTATGATGAGCCGTCAGTTACGAAAGCTTTGCTTGATGATCCGACGGTCTATGTGCCGCAAGCTTGTCCTGGAGCGAGGCTGCCGCATGCAAACACGACTGATGGGCTGTCTCTCTTGGATATCGTGCCCTACGATCGGTTTACCGTGCTACACTATGCGAATCCAGCATTCGCATCTTGCGACTGGGCTGTAGATGTGGCAGGCCTCGGTTTACCCGAAAGCTGGTATGGTGTCGTGCCGGTAATCAAGGCGGGTAAAGGGATCGTTGTGAGACCTGATCACCGTGTGCTGGGGAATGTAGATAGTCCGGGGCAAGCAGATAATGCGGTTAAAGAGTATCTGAATCATGGAAAAGTGTAAAAGAAAAAAATCAATGGCATAGTCTCGAAAACTTCAATATCAGGAATCTCAGTTTTGTAACATAATGATCATGAGCATGTTCAAACAGAACTCATACACTGCACGGCACGGCCACATGACCATCCTAGAATTTGAAGCAAGCATCAGTCTAGAATGAGAGTCCCCCTTCTTCGCGAATCAGGCCTCCTTAAGTAAAGTAGCTTGCGACAGACGCTCAAGACCAAGACAAATCGCAATCGCTGCCAACATTCCCCACTGCGGAAGCATAGGTCGCCGATCTACACAGGCCCTGAAGGTCCCGTACGTAACCACAGCCCCGTTGAAGAGCAGCGCTGGTTCCCTCGTCTCGGGGACTATGACAGCGGCGCCGACTGCGATGCGCAAAGCTGCGCCAAAGTATCCGGCTTGTCCAGGACTCAGACGCCGGCGAAAGATTTGCGACATCCACTCGCTTTTACCGGCGTAGTAGTCTGCGGCGCGGCGGTTGGGAAACGGGACGCCGACGAACGGGAGGGCGGAGAGGATGCAGAGCCCGCCGAAGGTGTAGGATGAGAGGGTAGAGAGGGTAGAGATGTCTGCCATCGTGCCTGGTCTTGGAATATCGTCACTGAAGGGGGCGGGTTAACGAGTGCGGATGCTTAGCGGAGTAGAGCCTGGTTGTGTGGAGATTTGATGATTGAAGCTGGTGATGAAGCTGGTAGCTTGTTGCAGTGACATTCCAAGTTGGCTGATTCACCCCTTACGTCAATACATCAGTGTCAGCACTAGTCCTCATTGGATCCTCGAACATTCACATGTCTTCCAAGGCTAGCAGAAAGACTGGAGTCCCTTGTCGCAACCTAGAAACATCGCGTGGATGGTAGACACGTGCAATATGCGTGCCATCGTCTCGTCATTCATGCTATGATAGGAATGTTACTAGATCTACTTGATCTGCTCTCCCTTGACCAATGGTCCGGCACTTCCAAACCATCGGAGCGCGCCGAGGATCCCCTCCGCAATTCTGGCGAAGGAATCGCTTGCATATAATAATCGGGCTGCTGCACGTAGCTCGAGTTTGCCCCGCGAGAGTCGTGGCCTCGCTGATAATCTTTCAATAACGCGTAAAAGAATGCTGTATTTGCGACGATACAGGCGCAAAGTATCTCTATAGATGCCCACTAGGTAGAACTCTTTAGCAGGCAATCGTAAGTTATGATACGCTGACAGAAATCCTTACCATGGACCGAGATCTTTGTGATACTGCCTGGTTCAGTATCATGGGCAGTCGCAGGATGGTGATGACGACAACAACGCCAGCGATGCTGAATAAGAGTACGAGCTGCACCTTACTACAGAAGTGTTAGTCATCAGATAATCTAGCATTGGTGAATCCAATAGGTGGAGACGAACACTTTGCTGTCGAGTTTAACGTGGCGAAAGATGGGAAAGGGAAAGATAATAAGCGCGATATCGGTAACAATGTTGAAGACGGCCATTGTGACGAGGTTTCCGAGGGCTCGATGGCAGGTATTTGCGCCGGTAGGATCAGGGGACCACATGCTTTGGATGGCCATGTTAGACGAGTTCAGGCCTCTACATCGACAAAGAAAGGCAAAGACTTACAAGTAAAGCGGCCGGCATTCCGCAAGAGTGGGTATCAAGATAACAAAAAACGTAACAACAATAAACCACCAAAGAGCATTCGTGACGGCTTTGCCCCATCCAAAGATGTCCACAAACCGAGAGTAAAAGTTGAGCAGGCAAAGCTTCAACGACCACAAGCTATGCGAAAGGCGGCACGGTCAGCAGTGAACGAATGTTAGACACACCGCCTTGAATTGCAGTCCGCCACCCTCACAACAGTCAGGGTGAGGCGGGATAGATCCAGGTAAGTTGGTGTAAGCGACATACAATAATGCATAGAATATGCGAGCCGGTATAAGCAGCTTGTGTGAGATGACGTAATACTCTGCCAATTTCTCAACATTGAGATTTCGCGCCGCGGCCGCCTCTTCGGTGGCGGCATCATACGTGTGCGTTGGGTTGAGGTAGAAGGAGAGCGAGATGCAAGTCGTGCGGCCGATGAGCGGGAGGAGCGCAAAGGCCATGTAGGCGTCGTCGACGTGCCACATTCGATGGCAGGTATCGTGGACTTTACATCGTAGGAGGATGCGGTAGCCACAGCGGACGATGATGAGGAGGGCGCAGATGCTGGCCGTGACGATGTCAAAGGTCACATCTGCCGACATGTCTGTGTTGGTGATGCTTTGTCGTCGGATTCGGGTTCCAGTGTGAAATTGATGGCTGGCTGCTGGGGCGCGGCGGCAACGAGGGCCGTTATGCTGGTGCTGACATTGTTGTGTTGTACGTTTTGTCGAAACGCCTCTTTTTCCTTCCTCGAGGAAGTCCTCTGTTGTTCTGGCCCTTCCTTTCGCAGGTTGCTATATCCGTATCCCAATGTAATCTTGACAAGCTCTCTTTTTGACGATATTCGGATTGCGCAGTCTGCCCCTTGGCTGAAAACGGCCGATGGTCCCAAGGTCTCGGGGCCCCCAGTGCGCTGAATAAGGGACGGATTCGGATGGTGGTTGTCCTTTTTTGGGAAACGTTTTGACGTCCAAAGTGTGGGGAAAAGGGAAACGCAGATGGGACGAACTTGACAAGGCCAGAAAGGGCACAGCCAGATGTTTAAAGAGGAGGACGGGGGCGGAGCAAGAAACAACCACAAAAAGGCCGTCGCTGAAAGATGAGCCGCCGAGGAATGGCTTGGAAAAGGGAGGACGGAGTGGGATTCGCAAAAGTAGGTAGGGACGTGGATTCTGAGTCAGCTACTACCACCCCACCCCAGCCCAATGCCAAGCCGTTTTATTCTAGCTTCTGTTGGATGACCGCGCGGGGTTCAAGTTGATTCGACCTGGGAAAGGCGCGGGAGAGACGCAAGGGAGGCACAAGAGGAGGTCGGAGGGAGGGTACACTACATGTGCCTGTACTAGAGAGGCACAGAAGAGGCGAAGGAAGGAGGAGGAAGAGCAAAACGGGCAAAATGGAGGAGAGAAGGTCGTAGGAGACGGGGGCGGGAGAGTTGGGTATTTTGAGGGAAGACCAAATGGTTGCCGAGTTTGCATGCAGCTAAACTTTAGCAAAAAGGTCATTGATGATGATCCGAGACTGCGGTCCATGAGGTGTGATTCGCGCGATGGCCCGGGGGAATGGTAAAGGGTCGCCAGCATTGTTTTCGCAAGGGGCTACATGGAACGAACGAACGACAAGACAGGCCACTTTTCGTGATGGTCAACACCAAGGGGCCCTGTCACGCTTGTCTGCCTGACTGTCGGTAACTATTCGTAGTTAGTACGAAGAACTTGGTGTACGCCATTGTGACGACGAGCTGCTCAGCTCCTAGGATACTGGCACACTGGAACGCTTTTCTGCACCGCTCTGCTGCCCTTCACTCGGGTTGTCGGGGCCCTAACCTACTAAACAGGTCGATGGTTCCAATTTCCCCGCATGGAGATGCATGGGGATACCCATGTAGCCAAGCGCCGTTGGTGATTCGCTTTCGTAACGGGGAACCGGATGTCGAAATGAAGACTTTTCTCGCGCTCTCTCGAGTCTCAGGTGGCGTACATTACAGGACGGCACGGAGAAAGTAAATGTCTTGCCTCTCCGTGAGACTTCTGGGGTCCTGTGAGAGACTCTTCGATTTGCCGATTCAGGGGGACTTTGATCTGTACACCTTCACGCGAACCGTGATAACAATACGTCTGCCCAACGGCGCACAACGGCGTCCCCGCCTCTCACTTTCTATCAGTGAGGGTAGGGATACTAACCTCGTAATCAACCGCCATTCTTCCCATCGGCGTCTCTTTAAGTTCAGACTAAAGCCCGACCTCGGGAGGTTGGCACTGGCGCTTGGCCGCTTGTCGAACCCATCTTGAACCCAAAATCGGGCTCAGGTCTTCATCGAGTCCTAGCGTTTCGCTCTCGATGCCGCCCGCACCATCGGATGGCAGAATCGGTCCAGAACTTGGCAGAGAATGTCCACTGTCTAGGTATATCCACAGCAGTCTAGCAGAGCTGCCCCGTTGGCCGACGAAATCCCAGTCAGCTTGCTGCCCAGCCCATCGATGGCAGGGTTATTGACAGATTGGATTTCCGTCGGGGCACTTGGGTCGAAGCTCCGTCCGTCTTGAGAGCTCCGCACGCCGCCAGTCCCCGGTGATGGGGCGATGGAGAGCTGGGTGTGCACGAGCATTCACTCACTGGTCAGTCACCAAAGTCCTCTAAAAGAGCATTTTACCTAGACCGCGTTGGGAACACAAATGGGCCAAAAGTCGATGTAATCAGGGCTGTGGTAGCATCGCTTCCAGCTCCAGTGGGTTGTCACAAACCTGCAGCGTATGCGCATCTGTCAGACAACCAGAACATTATTAGACTGATGTCTCATGCCCTCGTGACTAGACGGGCGGACGGGCGAGACGGGATGATCTGCGTTTCGCAAAATTACGTGCAGTGAACCCAGTGAGCGCAGTGTCAGCCTGACAGCAGGCTGCCCAATGCTGTCCTGTCCATGCCAGTCGTGATCTTCCCTGCAGGCTCTGTCTCTCGTTGTTTGGACTCTCGAATAGAGCCTAAATTGGTTGATCATGTCTGAGTTCATCCTTCTGGCCCCTTTGGAAAAGTCCCTGGCCCCCGCGTAGGCTTGTTCAATGTTCAATGATCGGCAATCGTTGCCTGCCGTGTAGCGGCGCATGTGCTTACTCTTACTCGACGTGTCTGCCATTTCGGCCCTGCTCGTCCGCTCTTCTAGGCCTCGCGCCTTCGTTGCAACCATCGATAAAATTACACAAGGCTTTGCATGCCATACGGATACACATATCTCCATTGGAGGCAGTCTAATGTCAGATCGAAGCGAAGTATTCAGCCACAGTTTTCGGCAATCACAGCGCCCGAAGGTCGTTCTTTGTGCCCCCAGATCTCGTGCCTGCGCCTCCGAGCCCCGGCTACACCCGGCGGCAGCCAAGTGTTGCGCCCACCGGGAATTGTCTGCTGTTTGTATCTGGTTTAGCTTGGTTGAACCCGTAAGAGACCCGCAAAAGGAAGTCGTGAATCCTGATATTGGAGTAATTGAAGCCAGAAGACTCGACGAAAACGCGATATTTTCCAAAGGATCTGGCTCTGAAAAGAAAGACTATGGGTTTCACTTTAAGGATCGGCCAAACTCTGGAAGATAGGAAGAAACTTCGGTGAGAAAGCGGGACTCCGTAGTCGCATGTATCACAAACTTTGCTTGCGAACGGGAGTTTCCTACGGATGGCAACTAGCGAACAAGTCCCCTGGAAGAAAATTGAAGTTTTAGGCGCAAGGTTTCACACTACTCGCGACATATCCTCTAATTGCCTTTGAAGCCTCAAACTTTGCCGTGCGGATGCCGTACGGCAGCTTTACGGGATTTCAGTGATTAGCTTCTGCTTTCGATCTTGGCCATGTTCTAAGAACCCTTTTGGTCACGGCATCGCCAAGTCGCCGCCTCGGGAATTGGGAACTCCGCGTCGTGCATCCTCAATTCCGTGTCTGTGTACCATCGCGTTGGTTTGTATTGTCCACGAGCACCGGTGCGACTGCTGAAGCCTGGAAAAGAATGTTGGCCAAGAAACGTAGTCGGCGGCGTGTCAAGTACGTTCTCTATTCGTACTGGAGGTGTTCCAAATGCTCGGTCCGGCGATCTTCTAAGCATCTCCGGACCTACAATCATATTCCGCATCAGTTTTACAGAGGTGGAAAATAAATTGTCGGACCGACGCCGCGATAAATTTTGCTTGCCCGTCGCGACAGCCCTAGCACCTCGCTGTTCGCGCTGCGAGCTTTCTTTTCAACATGCATGTTCGATGCGACTACATAAACCCTGAGCGTTGCCGGGCAACGAATATCCAGATTTGCCTGCTCCGATGTTTTCGAAAACATCCCATCGATGTTCCTCCCGCATTCGCCTTAATTGAGTTATTCGAAATTCGATTTGGCCGACATTGCGGCAACGTCGTCTCGTATTGGTAGAGCTCTTCTGTATTTCCAAGAGAGTTTCCATGTGCTCCATGCGTTGTAATCTCGATCAGCGATGGAAACATCCAAAATCGTGGGGCTTAGAAGTCCAGCTCCATCCGCAAGTGAGGTATTCGTGAGGATCGCTTGAGGACTACATCGGTAATTCCATGGGGGTATGCAGCCATTTCATAGTTCAAACATGAAAGTATCCGTCGTCACGTATCTACATGTAGTATTCAGCATTGATAAATTGATTCTTCGTCGCCCCCGTGATCCTACGATTCATTCATTGTCTCGATGGCATGGCTTCCGACAGGAAATCTAGACCCTACGAATGGCTCGTTCCATCACGTCATGTGTAAGATGCTTCGGGCAAAATATATACTCGGATGCCAGCAAAAACGTACCAGAATTTCGAGTTCCACCTTCAACGGACTCCGTAAGTCAGGAGGATATTACTATCGTCGGGTTGGTTTATCCCAGTCGAGACACCAGACTCAGATGGCCATCAACCCGTGATGCCCATTGCTTAGAACTTCACTATAGTTTCTGCTTGCTATAGCTAAGGCATGAGACTTAGGTAGTGGGTGAGGCTGACGGCGTGGAGAATGATATCTGAATCCAGCATTCGCCATATCGTATGAGATAAAGAACTTCACCCCACACCCCGATTCCGTTACGCATATCTTCAGATTGAAAGATATCTCGAACGTGGGATGTTATCTCGGGCTTGCGTAAATCTCTTTATCGCCATAACGATTAACAACTGCCGAACAGTAATGAGAAGCAAACTAAGAGCAAGGGGCATCACTTGCAAAACCATATGCCGGACTGATCCGTCTTACACCAGCGACTTTTTATGCTGGAATGACGGAAGCGGACCGCCCCTCCGAGCGACAAACCCCGGAATAACCCGGAGAAACCCGGAACGGACCGGGTGGGGAACGGCCGAGGATGGAGCAAGGGAAATATGGGGACGGAACGGGGAGGGGAGAAGGAGACGGCCTATCTTGAGCTCAAGCTCAGTAATCTTTCCCAATAGTTGATTTCCCCTCCTCAAGTGCGGGAATAACAGAAGAAGTCACATGACTTCACCTACTTCACTGTGTACGAAGCAGAAGATGACAGTTTACAGTAGGGACCTAGGCGGCCCGCGAGCCACCTCTCTTATCGAAGACAGGCTCATCCCGACCCGCCAGGATGCCGCCTTGTGCGGCGGCCAACGCGCTGCTCCCCTGTGTGCCTGTGTCTTCTCCAAAGTGTCCTCCCCGCTGATCCGCTCCCAACATCGACAGGAGCTCCAATTTCGCCTCGCACGTGGGGTGATGCTCGTCCACGTCATTGGCGAATGGCCCTCCCGCCAAAGCACCACTAACGGAAACGTTTCATCAAGAGTGGTGTCAGCGGTGCTTCGACAAGTGCTGTGTCCAATAAGACATCGCCCATATCGTTTGCTAGAGTCTCGTAACCTCGTTAAGTTCGTCTTCGAAGGCGGAGAAGCCCCCGGCTTTACGCCGTCTGACCTATGATAGATCAGACAGCTCGCTCAGATCCCCACTGTCTTCTAAGCTCTCGGTGTGTTAGTGCCTTGCTTTCTGCTGTACTCGGGGAAATACACGCCGCGCTTGAACATGGCAGCCGCAAGAGAACCATGTCATTTTCAGCATGCAGCTTAATCGCGCTATGAGATGGACCAAGCGAATGAGATAGGAAGCGGGCCGGCAGACGACGAACAGGATAGCTTCAACGACATGATCCCAAAAGTACAATAGTGGAACACTCTCGCCCTGCGCCAATTTCACTCGGCCATGTAACATTGGTTGAGGTTCGTTCCTCTCTCACAAAATCACCCCGCAGTGAAGACAACTTGGACCTTTTTAAACTGGTCTGAATTTTGCCTTTTTTTTCATTTTTCTGCTTTCGTTACGCCCAATTCCCTCTCTCGTTCTGTCGCTCCGCTTCTCCCCGTCCTCGCCTCATTCCTCTCCCTCTCAACCACCGAGCATCCAAATTCATGATGCACCACGAACCGGACGCAAAGATGTTCGACCCGGCGACGCAGAAGAAGACGGTCGACTCCGGGGCCCCGGCCTCTGACATCGAAGACACCTCCGTCAGCTCGGCAAAAGACATTCTGGAAAACGAGGGCGAGGACCCCGTGCTCGCAATGAAAATGCACCTCGTCAATGACGTATGAACCAACCAAAAAAACAAAAAAAGCTTCCAGAGTCTGGGCTCACGAGTCTCTCACCCAGACACGTCCGCCGCCAACACAGCTCTCAATGCTGCCAAACCACTTATCTACAGAGACTAACCAGCCCAGGCAAACGATGAAATTGGCTGGACAAACTTCCACTGGAAGCTCTTCGTCCTCAACGGCTTCGGGTACGCCGTCGACTCGCTCATCGCCCTGGTCCAGTCCGTCACAAACGCGGGCGCAATGCTCGAACTCGGCAAGCCGTCCACCTACTCGAACGCGGGCACCGTTTCGCTTTACGTGGGCCTGCTCATCGGAGCGATTTTTTGGGGCTTCGGCGCGGATATCATTGGGCGAAGGATCGCGTTCAACGTCACGCTGCTCATCACGTCCCTCGCGACAATCGTCTCGGGTGCGAGTCCGAATATCGAATCGTGGGGCTTCTTCACTGCGCTATCGGCGTTTGGAGCTGGCGGTAACTTGGTGCTCGATCCGACGGTCTTTCTCGAGTTCCTCCCGAGTAATAAGCAGTGGACGGTAACGGCGCTCGCCTTGTGGTGGGGTTTCGGACAGGCGCTGGTGGGCTTCATTGCATGGGGATTCTTGAGTAAGATGCGATGGCGTTCCCGGTTTTGCTGCTGAGTAGATGCTGACTCCTTCACAGCCCAGGAGCGATGGAACTGCACTGAGGGCATGGATTGCAACTGGTCTAATAATCCTGGCTGGCGCTACGTCTCCTTCACCTCGGGAGCCTTCGTCTTTGTCGCGTCCGTTGCGCGAGTGACTGTCATGCGCCTGCAGGAGACGCCAAAGTACCTTCTCAGCGTCGGCCGCGATGAAGATCTGGTGCGCAACTACCAAAAGATGGCGCAAAAGTACAACCGACCCTGTTCGCTCACGCTGGAGAAATTGACGGCGTGCGGGCAGATCAAGAACGCTGGCCAGAGCAGAAACAACTTCAAGTTTGTGCTTCGCGAGTTAGGCGCACACGTCAAGGGTCTCTTTTACACCAAGAGAATGACGCTTAGCACTGTTTTGGTTTGGCTGTCTTGGACGCTGATCGGTCTGGCGTATCCCTTGTTTTATGTCTTCCTGCCGTAAGTTGCCACGAGACTTTGAAGAACGCGAAAGAGATTAACCGAGAGTGATAGATCATATCTTGCCTCGAGGGTGCCGGATAGCACCGAGACGCCATTCGAGACGTGGCGAAACTACACGTTGACCAATATATCTGGCATTCCTGGCCCGATCATCGCTGGTTACCTGGCTAATCTTCCTCACATCGGCCGCAAGTACACCATGGCCATTGGCGCTTTGCTCTCCATGGCGTTCTTCTTTGGTTACACAGCGGTGTCGACTGCTGACCAGAACATCGGCCTCAGTTGCGCGATTGGTGAGTACTTAACTTGATTCCAAGCCCCCTCAAAACTTGGAAGAAATTCTAGCTGACGTGCGGATTCAGCATGTGCAATCAACATTTACTACGGTACACTGTACGCATATACCGTCGAGGTTTTCCCATCAGCTCACCGCGCCACGGGCAACGGTATCGCGGTCGCCTTTAACCGTCTTATGGGCATTGTGTCTGCTTTCGTTGCGAGCAGTGGAAACACGGCAACATCGGTTCCTTTGTATGTCTGCGCGGCACTGTTTGGAGTCATGGCCGGCGTGTCTGCTCTGTTCCCCTTTGAGCCGTATGGAAAGAGAAGTTCCTAGACTTGCTAGAAGTTTTCTACTTTACGCTTGGTTGGTAGTGTCGCATCGGAAAGGAAGTAGCCTCCAGATATTTGGATTACCTCGGCCTGACTTGTCCACTGGATACGGCACTGTAGCAGCGAAACTAGCTGGAGAGAGGAAGGCAAGAAGACTCCAATCTTCCCATCTCGTTTGCTTCTGCAACAGAACTCAGTGTCGAGAAGTTGATGGACTCTAGATTTGGTCTCGATGAATTCCTTGGTTTCAGAAGTCTTTATTGCGGTTCTGAAGAGCATCTTAGACGTCATAGACTGAGAGGCATGCTTCATTTTCGGAGAGGAACATGATTTCGCGGCTGGACGTGTTGTCAACAGCCGAGATGTTAGAAAGTTTGATTGCTCCATTACAAAATACGATACCCCCGTTCAACTCCAGTTTTACCCGATTCCTACTTTGCCTAGCTAGTTAGTACTGGTTGATAACGACAGATATGTCCGCAGGCGGAGGTCCGCCAACAACAAGTGATTAGATGTCTAGCCCCAACATCTGTGACTAACAGATGATCGAGAATCATCTGTATTCCTTACGAGAGCTGTCCGATGCTCGCTGTCGTACGCCTTGGCTCTGCACACCTTCGGCTCGGCCTTCCGCAGAGCTCGGGGCTCTCGGTGTCGCAGAAAGAGGGGCCAAGATACGTGCAAGATCAGACATCGGTAACTCTAGAATCCTAGATGAAAGCAGGTGACTATTGGATCATGAGAGAAGAAGGACACATCCTCATGCCAAGTGGGATATGCCGATCGCAGAAACCGTAGCTAAGATCTCAAAACTACGGCAGCATAAGTAAAACTGCTAATGATGGTGGCCGTCAAACCCATTTCATCGTCACGGATCGTAGTGTTATCATAGAACTTTACTCGAACCACTTGCTTATTACTCGGAGATTTAAAACATGGCAAGTCACTATGTTTGCGGGGAAACTAGCCATAACCCTCTGTAGTTGAACAATTCTGCCGATCTTATTGGACCTGGGCTCGCCTCGAAATGTCTCCTTCTTAAGTTTACTTCTACATTGGACTGGAGTCTCGAAACAAGTCGCGCAACATCCTGCTCAACTTGCACGTGTTCTCGGTTGCTAATGGGAGAGCATTGGTCATCGGCAGGCAGTGTGATCTACTTACCATCACGCACGCAACATCCATGCCCTCCTTGGCATTCTTGCTAGTCGTCCAAACCTTGGGCAGATCGCCCCGGCAGCTCATCCAACTTCCTAATCCAACAGAAACTCTTGCCGTCGGGAGAAGTTTTAGGCGGTCTAGCGGGCCGGGAGATCAAAGCTCGGGACCGCGCTTGGCCTCAGCTCCCCGCGCGCGGTCCATGCTCCCCCCAGCCTTACAATGCATTGATGATATCCCTATGGCCCCTCCTGTGCCCCCCTCCCAACGTGATCGTTCTCGTCAACTTTAACCAGGGTGTAATGTCAGCCTCATTATTCATCGTCAGTCCAGACGCTCTTGGCGGTATTGGATTCTGTATATCCCCTCCAGGTGATTCGTTTCACGGATTGTTCCACTGTGATGCCGTGTCAATTTGGTCGTGTTTCCCAAAAGGCCAAGCAATTTGAGACATTCGATCGGCAAAGACACCGGCCTCTCGAGCCGAGGCTCGTCTGAATAAAATCTGACAAACAAAACACTCCTTGTCAAACAATGTAAACTTTCCAACTTTTAAGGTGTCACAGGGTAAGCAAACTGTTGAGTTTGGGTTACAAGAGGCTCTTTGCGGGAGAGGCGGGATAGAGTCCAAACAAGTTTTGGTTCTGTACAACAAGCGGGAAGTCAAGGCAAATGAGGGGTTAAAAGTGTCAGCCTTCAAAGCAGAGGGCAACTTATTTTGTGACAGTTGAGTTAACGAGCTACTTTGATGGAAAATCCGAGAATGAGTCTAAGGCACTTGGCGTTATGAAGTATCATTTGACGAAATTTATGTTGATCTACATAAGAGCAGTTCTTGACAGCGGCGATCATGAACCGTGCCATCGTGCCGAACGAAACGGAACACGGGGCTCACCGATCCCCAACTACCAAGACAAGTCGACTTTTGCCGAGCCTCTGAGAAGGAACCCCTGCCCCATGTCTCGATCAAGGCAGATGTTTCGTCAAAGATGAGATGGGTGAGAGGTCCGCGGGACTATTCTTAGCCTCTCAGGTGTGCCGCAAGCAACACCACCAGAACAGACTTCGTCGCATATGAAATCTTGACACTAAGATCTTCAGGTTCGCGTATAGTTCCTATATGTACGCATTGGTTGGAGGTGCTTTTAGCACATTCAGTTGATGGGGATGCCGTGACTCGTTCTCGGGGGGTCGCGTATTGGTCCCACGCCGAACCCCCCTCTGATGTCTCCATCGCCATGCAGTCTTGGCCGTGGAGACTTCTTGTTGAAACTTGTGGGCGAAAGTCTATGTCGTTCTGACCGAAGTATGAGGCTTCGTTGGCGATCGGCCACGAGCGTTGAACGTTCACATGCATGGGACGGTGTCGAAAGCAACATACTCTAAATCCTGTGTTTTTTTTGTAAAGATCAACGCAGTTGATGTCTATAAATATTGGATGGATGGCCACTCCCGACCCCAAAGCTTAGTATCATAGACAGCTCATACAAACACAACTTTCAGGACACCGAACAAGACTTGGCTAGAAAGATTCAACATGCTCGTCCCTTCCCTCAAAACCATCGTCGCCCTTGGCGTTGCATTCTATGCCACCGCTGCGCTGGCGGCTCCCAACGGGCAAATCGGGGCTAATGTTCAAGACTTATCCGAGGTAAATTGATTGAACAAACGAGCTGTGGCAATATCGAATGCTAATGGATCTGGGGAACTAGAGGAACGAGGCACTTGTGAGATTTCTACGACTCTACCTCGCTCAAGTCCCCAATTGGTGCTCTTAGCTGACTAGTTCGACCAAAGGAACAACCTGACCTTGACGCCGTCCCTGTAAGCTCAGATACAAGGCACAAGCGATGTTTGACCCCCGACTGATTTCATAATTACAGGGGCTTGGTGATACCATCGAGGCCCGTGGCAAACCACCTCGCCGCCCAAACAATAACAATAATAACCGGAGGCCGAACGGCAGGCCCAACGGCAGACCCAACGGAAGGCCCAAACGTCCCCCAAAATAAAGGAGATGGGTACATGCATGCGTCATGGTCCTGACTAGTTCTCACTCGTCGCGAACGCACTACGATTCGGGCTGGTCTCAATGAACATTACTAGTTAATGGTCTTTATGGACATGCTGCTATCATAAGGTGTAGGGAGCTGTGAAGCCACGATGTTGTTGAGACAAGTTGGGTTCTGGGTGTAGATATATGCCTGAGAAAGAAATTGAGGAGAGTGGTCTTCATCAAAGTTGTGATCATTTGTTATACCAAGAACGACAACGAAGTATCCCCTATCGATGGGCAAGTACCTCAATTGAGCGAAAGCTTGGTATAACCCATGGAGAAACTCCTCGCAATGACCAACAACGTGTGCATACACATAGATCTACACATAGGATATCTGTATTTCTTGTATCTGTCTCGTGGGGTATCTAAGTACCTATGTTCGTCACGGTGAGAAGGAATTATAAACGTGAATATATACCAAAGAACACCTAATGGAACATTTGGACACTATCCTATCCTTGCGTTCTATCGCATATGGCCACGGAAGCTTGGCCATCTCGGTGACAACACAAATTTGACCCAGGCCCACGCTGGCACACTGGCGAGTGTCCCCCGCATCCGTAACACCCAAGGCCTGTCACACAATCGCCTCTGCCAGGATCACAAGGGTCCCCTTGTCCTCTCGCTCTTTTTCGAAGCCATGGTTGCTATCATGTGTTAGCTAATTGCGACGTCCAAGTTCGTGTAATCTTGAGGCAAGGGGTGGGTTCCTTACGGTCGGATCTTCTAACCAGGATGTGTGGTATTCCGCTCCGAGACTCGATTCTGATACCAGGTTTTTCGCGTCCACTGTTGGGGCAGCAGATACACGGGTGATTGTTGCCGCAATAATAAGAAGAGTTGAGAGAGCCTTCATCTCTCTAGATGGGGTCATTCGAGATGAGCCGATAGCAGCAAGATGTTACGTTCTTGTTCCGATGATGAACAGTACATGTATCTAGAGCAATTCCGTGAGATTGATTATTTGCAGTAACGTGAGTCCTTTCTAAGTACATATTCTGTGATCCAGTGGGGCCTGAAGTTATATAGCGACGCGCTCAAGCCTCGAGTGCGTACGACGAAGTCTTGCTTCGGGTCACAGCGTGCGTCATCCGAACTACTCTGTTGCAGCCCATGACTTATCAACGGTGAAGTGATGTATTGCCGTTAGAAGTGAACTCCGGAATTATGGCCGATTGGCCGTTGCATGAGCATTGACGTTGTGGTAGTCGGGGACCATCAGACATGTTTCCCCGGTCTAGGCAAGTAGAATGGGAACAGCACGACTAGGCACGTACTTGACGCTGGGGAGTCCTGACCTAGATGACTAAAGGGGTATAATGTCCAGATGTGCAATTGCTACTACTAAAAGTCTGCCACTAAAGGCTTCACTGATGGGCCGACGCAGCTCCATGAGGAAGAGACGTAAGCATCTTGTGATGAACCACGACTAAACACCTTCGAGCCAGTGGCAATACCGAGCTGAGTATCTGTTATGAAAACACGACTACCGATTGATAAACCTAATTTGGTAAGACGACGGCGAAAGTGTCACTACATGCAAGCTGGTAGGGCTCAGAAGCATCATGCATGCTGCTAGTGATCCCCCGTCGGCGATCAAAAGTTCAGGTGAGGCGCACATCAGCCAAAAGTTCGTTGATGACGCCCCGAGCCATCGCCTGAATGTTTTCGACTACCGATATAAGGAAGAGATGGCAGAGCTTGGGCTTTGAAATTGCCTTAGGATGCAATTAGGAGATGTCACAGCACTTGGGAGGCAGCCTGGAAATCGCAGTGAGGGAATAAGTCCGTGTTTGTGCCCACAATTTCACGATCTTTCATCACCGAGTGCGATCTGATCTATTCCCTCAATACACCACACTTAACTCAAAGGCCCTTTCGCTTTGAAGGATCACCCCGAATTCAAGAGCATAAGCTCACCTGTCCCAGGTTCACACAGCATCAAGTGACAAAGGTTTGAGCGGAAAACTTTGTAATCTATAGGAATCTGTGGCACTCCTCATACATTCTATGGTTCATGCCATATTGTCGAGGAAAGATTCAACCAAGTACTACATCCTCCAAAGCAGGTACTTCGACATAACCCGCACTGGCAGCCAATTGAACATAGATGCCATCGTGATGTGGGGTCAACCCCTGGCTTTACAAATATCGAGCCCCAGTTGAGAAGCAAGAGAGCGGATAAGTATTCGGGTTATGCTAGACCGAGGATAAACATGTGCCTTCTAAATCACAAACCGGCTAAATTCTGATCCCACATCAGTCGCAACTTCCCCCGGGCATGATTGAACAAATTACTCACTACTTAAGGACCTTGAACTTGGCCGAGCAGTGAGATGGCGTATTAAAGTCGTGTTTCCAAGTGTGAACGCCCGAAGAGGAGAGTATTAGTTTTGGATAACCTACGAAAGTGACTTGTTTGACTGTGCAACTTATGGACGGTCCTTCTCGTCCAAATTGAAACTAACCTTGCCTTAGTTGATCTGCTTGAATATTAGTAGGCCTTGTCTAATCCTCATGTCATCTTTCGGTCGCGTATGGTCAATCCATCGAGGTGGATTGCCAGTGGGCAATGATAACAACCACTATTGACAGAAACGATGCCAGATCCAACCAACCGAGCTGGCCAATAAGCCAATGTTAGCCAAGACATAAGGCTGAATAAGCCAAGGCACCAGGCAAAATCACATCATGCTTGTCTGCAAATAGATCGCACCGTGTGGCTTCCGGGTTGAAGAAGGAAGGTGAGCCGCAGGATCGATCATCTATCAAGAGCGTCTACGGATACTCCCGCTCATGTAGCAAAGAGGGGCAAACCATCCCAGTTCCCATCGGCTACTACTCTGGGGACCTTTGTTCGGTGGTCTACGTCAGCCAATGCCGGCGGGATGGTCATGCAGCATGCAAGTCATGGCCCTGTACCTCTCGACGACACCCCGGGTTTGAAACAGCGTTGATCGAATGGAACATATCAAGGTTCATTCCATTGGCTTGGTCGTCATCCCGGTGCCTTGGAGTTGGTACATCGCCCCTTGAAGTGTCAAAAAGCTTAGCCTTAGACATCGCTAGTACGTATAACGTCAATGTCGTAAAATTTGAGAAGCGGCTCTAGAAGTTTCCTAAGTAGTTTCAAGTACATGCACTCGTGAGTAGATACCTATAACACACACCCCGTTGAAACTTGTTCTCACAACTGTGCTTGGTTCGAATTGGCGATTTATTCTGACTCATCTACCACAAGGTTTTTTTTTTTTTTTTGGCTCTATTCCGGAATGAGATTCTATTCAGGAAAATCCAGTAGCGGCATCAAATGTTTCTACGCAATTTCAAAGAAAACATGAAATGACCACAGACGAGTATTTCAGATCTAATTCATTCGACGTGCCGTGCCTGCTGAGAGCTTTGCTGATGTGAAGCCTCTCGCTCAAACGTGCCTGTCCGGCTATGAGAACTCCCTTCTGGGGTCGTGGTGTGGGCGAAAGTTTAGGCCCCAGCCTCCCGAGTCCCGCGGTTGACCAAGGATCCTCACCCGAACTGCAATCCATGTGGGACTGAGAGTGGGAATTTGGAGAAGAGGAGATGGCGGGGCGCGAAAGACCCATCAGTTAGTCCATGGAGTAAATCCTTGCTTCGAGACAACCGTCCGGTTTTCGTGCTCGGTCACAGTCCGAATCCAAGACGCGGGGCGGTGTGGAGGGCGTGGAGGGCCGAGTGAAGGCCGACTCCGGAATCTTCCCCCAGGTATCCGTATTTTAGTCAACAACAAGTGCGGGATCTGGGAAAACGCGGGGATTGGCCGGGTGAGGAGTGGGAATCGCGAGATTGGTCTTCATATTGTCGGGAGTAAAATGTGGTCAGAGTTAATGCTGACGAGGTAGAAGTTGGCCATGCGATACTTGGCAGAGTTGAGATTTCTCTTCTCCACTTGCTCCTGCAGTTTCTTCTTCCTGTGATTTGGGGAATTACTCCAATTCTGCCCTCCATTTGCAGCTTGAGTCTTGCGGCGTGACCCATGACTGGGACGCTGGATTTCTTAGCGCAGACTTCACTTACACACTAGGATGGATTCACGATAGTGGGCAAGATGGTTGTGTGTTCAGTGGTAGTTTACTTGATTCGCTTTATGCGTTTCAGTTCATTATGGCATTAATCCATTCTATCGACATAAGTCTTGCCACATCCCGTGATTCACACGAGCCTGAAAAGGAATGGCAAGGTTGAGGTTTTAATGTACAATACGCTCTCTTTTGGGTATCAAACCGCATGGTTTCAACTTCACATAATAATTCGCAGCGCTTAAACAAGGTATCTGAAACCCTTGCCCAGCCTGTGCGAAGCCTCAGCCTCCTCCGCGCTGGTGTTGGCGGTATCAGCTGCCTCGCTCTGCTCAAGCTCCTTGTTCAACTTGTCAAGAATGACCTTGAAGATGTAGCAACCGACAATGGTGATACCGAACATGGCAGTGACGATACCGTAGCTCTTACGGAAGCCGTTCTCCTTGAGGTTCCAGACGTATGATCCGGCAACATTACCAAGCTGGGAGAAGGCGTTGATCATGGCGATGGCAACGGCACGCTTGGCAGGGGGGCGCGGGAACGAGGAGGAGATCCAGGAGTAGAAGACGATGAAGCCGGCGTACGAGCTAGCCTGGAGGAAGAGAGCGACGTAGCGCGCGGCGACGTTGAGAGTCGACATCGAGATGACGAAACCGACGAGACCGACGCAGATAGGGCCGACAATGTGCCAGAAACGCTCCTGGGTGCGATCGGCGTGCCAGGCGTTAATGAGGGAGATAAGGCAGGAGAAGGCCCAGGGAGGGGAGCTCATGAGCAGGGTGGGAACGTAGCCGAAGCCTAGGGTCTGGGTAAGGGTAGGGAAGAAGGCGTTGAAGGAGAGACCGACGACGTAGGCGGTGAAGGTCAGCATCATGATGTAGATCTTGACGTCCTTGACAGCCATGATGAGACCGTCGAGAGGGCCCATATCGTCCGAGTCGGCGTCAGCCTCACCGACATCCTCAGTCATGCGCAGCTGGGCGACGTAGAGCTCCTCCTCGGTGAAGCCGCGGGAGTTGGTGGGCAAGTCGGGAAGAATGAAGGCGGCGGAGATGGCGACACCCATGGTGACGGCACCCTCGATCCAGAAGAGCCAGCGCCAGGCAGCGTGGCCGAGGACGCCCTGCATGTTGGAAAGGACACCGGCGCCGATGAGGGCGGAGAAGGCATTGGAGATGAGGTTACCGCAGAAGAGGATGGCGTTGCGGGTGGTGAGTTCGCGGCGGGTGTACCACTTTGACAGAATCATGAGGGCACCGGGCAGGAAGGCGGCTTCGATGAAGCCCAGGCAGAAACGGGTGGCGACCATGCCTCCAAAGTTTGTGGTGACGCCGGAGAGGGTTGAGATCATGCCCCAGATCAACATGGCGGCGGCGATGTACCAGGACGGGCGGGAGATCTTGTTGATGACCATGTTGGAGGGAATCTGCATGAGAATGTAGCCGACGTACAGAATACTCAGGCAGGTGGCGTATTCGTTGTTGTCCAGCTGCAGGTCATCTTGCAGACCGCGGAGACGGGCGGCGGCGATGTTATTTCTGTCGAGGTAGTCTGAGGGGCATGCCGCGTTAGTTTACAAGTCTGCGATCAAGTGAGATGAGATCTCGGTGAGTGGAACATACTCATGATGTAGATGAGCACGAACAGAGAGCATCGCATGTCAAGCTTGCGCTTCATGCTCTTCTCGACTGCTGCGCGACGCTCAGGGCTCATAGCCCGGGGCGCGTTGGGGTCGGTGTAGTTGTTCTCGACATTATCGACATCGGCGCCCTTGAAGTCGGCGCCTTGGGTGATCTTGTCGTTCTGTGTCGAGTCCATCTTTGCGACTGTCCTGTCGGATCTCTACACAACTAGGGGAGAGTGTGTCGAGGAAAGAGGATGGGAGACGGAAGAAGGAATCAAGAGGTCGTCTGGATTGACTCGAGGTTAACTCTGGAAGGAGGACGATGGGAAAGCTATTAGTTATAAAGCGGTGCCAGGCTTCGGGCAAGTCCCGATCGTCGCGGGGAAACACTTAACCACCGCCCCTCAACAACATTTTTATGTGGGGTGAAACCTGCTTCACCCATCACAGCAAGAGTATACGCGCGTGAGAGGTAAGAATTTTGGAGAATGGGCCGGGATCTGGTACGAGTCTCCAGTCCCCCAGTTCGGTCTAGTTGCAGTCCAGATTCTCGGCACAGAGTCGCGGCATGCGGCTGCTTGGAACGAACGCGATAGCTGCTGCATTGGACATGGAGCTTCTTCGGCTGCACCAGGATGACGTGGGGAAGGATAAGACCATCCGTGGGGAAGTTCAGGTCGGGGTTAACAGCGGAGCGAGTGACTTGATCTTTTGGAGTGGTTGAGATTGACAACTTGAAAACCTCGAATAGAGACTGGAGAGTGCGCGCGTTACACGGAGCTCGTTCTCGCCTCCGTCCGCGGGGAACGTCACCTTGCATCCCGGGGGGGGACGAACCCGTTGAACCAGCTTCCAATTGCCCCATTGCCCCCAAAAGTCTGGGATTTGACGGTCAGCTGGAGTTCTGGAGGGCCCCGAAGTGGAATCTTTGGGATAATAGCGCTCCCCCAACTTTTTTCTTGCACGTACTCCAGTCCCCCCAGCTTCACCCCAAGGGGAATCCCACAGTTTCTGAACTTGGCTCTTGGCTTTGGTTGAAAGTGGGAGAAGACCAAAAGTCGCGCGACTTTGGGGGTCAAATGTCTCTGATTCAAGGTAGGACCGAAGTTTCCACCGGATGGTCCCGCTAGCTGGCCGCCAATTCGCGACAAGTGCCGGTTGAGATCCATCGCCTTGCGTCTGGCTGGCGTTGGAAAAGACTCAAGCGTGTCAAGCATCTTTCTCCGCGCGCGGTGGGACGGGGATTGGGGGAGGAGGAGAGATACAAAGTGGGCAGCGTGGGGAAAGGTCCGAATGGAATCATCCAATGAAGTCCTCACCGACTGAGCACGACCTGTCTGATTACGGTCAAGATTGTCGGCGATCTACTCCTATTTCGGGATGTGTGGCCGGCAAGGGTTGCGTTCGACCAACGACGGGGCGCGGAGTCTTGCGGAGTTTAAACAATAGTGACGTGAGCGAGCCCGTTTCGAAATGTTCGAAATCTCCTGCCTTTTCCGAGGTCTGCTGCCCAGATGCGTTCAAGACCTAAACGTCCAGGCAAAATCCAGGGGGATGTTTTAAAAACCAAGCAACCACCAGCTCACGTGGTCGCAAATATTGTCTACATTCCTGAGGATGACGTTCCAGTGCCATTTCCTCTGACACCACAAAACGTGGTTCCCGACCGAGGACCTGGTTGAGATCCTCGTCGCAACGTTGAAGTCTGGCCTGGGCGCCTGGGGTAGCATAAGTATCCCCCATGCACGTCAAAAGAAGATGTTGCCCAGAGACTTGGGACGAGGGTGGCGCTTTGCCAAGATTGAAGTTTTTTTCTTTCCCCAGTGTATCCGTAAAGAATGTCTTGAAAGCCGTTCGCCGAGCTTGGCGTCCTTGGCCCGAATCCGAACTCATCACGAGATGGTCTTCTCGATTATAAATCTTTTCCGCTTCTCCGAACAAGAAGGATCCGTAGATGCTTGGGTAGGCCTGCTCGAGGCTGCAAGCCTCCCGGTTGTGTCGGCCCCCTTCTTACTGTTTCTGGTGCTCGCTCAGTATCTGGTTGGTGGCCTGAAAACCCGCATCAGCTAAGACTAGGAACCTTGATTCAAAGCGCCGGGCACAATACCTCTGGTCCGGCGAGAACCCCGTGTAGCATCTGCCGTACTCTTAATGCGATGCAAAATGTCCGTTGCATCCGTTCACTAAGAGTGACCTGTGATTGTTCCTATGAGTTGCACTGAGATATCGAGTATGTGCCATCTGAGTTGAATGAAGATCTACCTTTGAGACTATAGATGGACTGTCTAAGATGGAGAAATTGGCTCAATATCTTGAGGGCACAACCGAAGTCCCGGCCAATAGGTACTGGGGCTAGAATTCGAGTCCCGGTTTACCTAGTAAAGTCCATCCGCTCACCGATGCTTTGGTTGGACTTAAACTTGAGCCTGATCGTCTCGGGGGGCTAACGCTCAAGGCTGCACCAGAAAGGTTGATTAAGCCTTTCCTAGCTTTTCCAAGAAGCCCCCATTCTTCCTGGGCTTACTAGTGCCGCAGCGTGCCTGAGATGCTTGAGTTGATGATACCTGCTTCTGGTGCCATCGGCGTACGAGCTGTACGTTTGGCATTGATCTCGGCAGCCAAGCTCAATGCACAATTTCTTTTGAGAGTCGGGTATTCTTGCATTCGTGGTTCCGCGAGCCGCTAGACCAGATAGTCTTCTCAATGCCATCGTGGCAGCTCCCGAATGGTGAAGCTCGTCTTCCGTAATTCAGTGGCTCTCGGCTCAGGACATTGTTGCGCCCGAGTCCCCACTCATAAGCAATCTTTCGGCGGCCGCCTCATCATCCTCGTCCGAATCATCATCGTCATCATCACCGCCCATCAAGTCGATGACCAGAACAGAGCCTGAGCTGAGCGTATCTAACTGGAATCCAGCCTGCAAGACCTCAGGAGCATCAAAAATGCAACCGGCAACATCGAGGCTGATGTCAGCGTCCTTAAGCGCCAAGCAGACGAGTCGGAAGTGCTCGTGGTGCTGATCCGTAGCATCGTCTCCGTCCTTGTTGCCATCGAAAATCAAGACAACGTTGCGGTGGCTGAAGCAGAAGGTATCATTGACCTCGGGTCTAGTGACATCTCTGAGAGCGGCCTCGAGCTTTGAAGGTTCGGTCTGGGCGTTGGCTGTGAGCCGTGTGAAGATGCTGCCATTGAGCAGGGCTTTTGCTGTGCTGGGTTTGAATGGTGAGAAGATTGTGACGTTTGGCGGAAGTGCCGGTGCGGCAGGTGCCGAGGGGAAAGTCTTTGGATCCATGACTGATTATGAAGTTATTCCCGTCGTGCTGTGAGATATTGTCCGTGTTGTAGGGTGTTATCCGTTGGCATGTCTAAGAAATGAGGCAGGGTCTGCAAAGTTTTCAGGGATGACTAATTTGAAAGGCGGAGATGACGTGGGGGTCACCGGTGCCGAAGAATCCCGGAGGCGGTCCGATGTGGGCCTGGAAAGGCCGGTGAGGCAGGCACGGCAGCAACTGCATCGCTTTTGGTAAGCTTTGCACCGCACGAACACATGAATCAGAAACGGCACCGATTTTTCAGACTATTGGTAACCCTGCAATTATTGTAAAGTCCTCTCGTCGCCGGAACATTCCTCGAACTCAACCCCTCGGAGTCTAGGTTAGCCTGAATGGGAAGCGACCAGCAGAGATGACCGGAAGTTTCCCTGTTGAGGTCTGTGTGCTGCTATGATGATGTCAAAAGTTCCCCGCGAAAGATTGGCGTGTTACCCCGTACGCGAACCAGCAGTAGAAGACTATAGAAATCATCAAGTAGCATGTTCAGAATCCCCAGAGAGTTCTGCCTAGACTGCCTTCTTGCCCAGTGGCTGGGCTTCTCACCACCTGCCACTGACCCCATTGTAATACGCAAAAAGCAACAGTGCAATTGACTTTAGCAATCGTGTATGTAGCGATCGGCAGAGTGATGCAAAAAGGGTCTTGAATAGTCTGGGGACTGACGATCAGGCTGATTGCGAAGTGTATGATTGGACTGCGCCGTACCGTGTGAACATGAGCTTTATGAACATCCCACCACTACCGCCCGACAAGCGCTCACCCCGCGTCATTGAAAGTGGCGCAAGCTACTTTAAGCCATTCTCATGACAATGCACGGCTTCAGGTGGCCATCTTTGGTTGGGAGAGCGATAAGGCGTGACGACGTTCGGTGACTTGATCTTCAGTCAGTGATGATCCAGGACCAGGCAGAGTAGGTAGTAAGTAGGGGAAATGATGTTCATGATCCTTTCTTACGGGAATCTGAGATGACGTGGATGATGTCGTGCTTGCGTCTGTTCCGTCGCATGAGCAGTAGCATAACTCACCAGTTCGAAAACTCCCCTGTCTTCGAGCATTATATAAACCCTCCAGGTCTCGCGGTTGAATAATGTTGCACATCATTGGAACAAAATCCTTTGAGATCAAACAGTAAAACCGGTTGAAGTCCAATATCATCAGATTACTTACCTGAATCGAAGAATTCACTGATAAGAACCATGGCACCCAAGTTCTTCTTACCCAACGGGTCATAATTAGTACCCAATGTCATTGATCAGACTTACACTAACCGACAAAACATCACAGCTCGAGCAGACGCTTTTCTTTCTCTCTTTCTCCTGCTTCAAAGGCAACGAAGAGAGTCTTGGCTCAGCGTTCGAATAACCGACGCTCTTTCGACTCGCAGGCGAGCTCATCAACGCTTGGCGATATGCCCGTTGTAGAGGTCGAGAGTTATCTGACGGCACCGGCTGTCCGATGGTCAACTGCAAATCGAATTTGAGTTGATTTGTCTTGATTCAATATATAAAGGTAGCTGGTGGATTGTTACGAGACCTGCATGAAGTAGATACAGTGGCTGGCTTGACCACTTGGCAGAACTCAATGTTGTTCGATACCCAGGACTGAAAGGAAAGGATGACCACAATCCAAAGCTTCCATATTGTTATTGAGATATTCGATTTTACTGAAGCCTCACATTACCTCTTGTCCCTAGACCTCATCCACATCATCATGCATTGAAACTAATTGTCTCTGATCCTTTTTGCAACAGTCTTGGTATCATTCGGTTCTAGTTCATTCAGTAAATGTACCAATATTACTCCTCGTAAGTATGTACTTCTAACGCTGTAAATCGACATGGTCTGCAATGAGGGCGATGATGTCACTCGCCGATGCATCTGGGCTGATGCAACCCAAGATATGCTGGTCTGGTCTAACCAGAACTGCACTTCCCTCAGAGAAACCACCTTTCGTATCGTACAGTCTTTGGTGACTGTCAGAAGTAAACTGGAAATCGACGTCTGCACCCCAAAGCATAAGGCGAGAACTCAATTTGTTACCAAGAGCCTTTTTGCAGTCATCGAACCGTTGGTTCCAAGCTCCTCGACATGGTACAATGAGAGAGAATGTACCTGTACTCGCCAGGTCAAGAGTAGAATAGCGTTGAGCCTCGATTTGCTCATTCGATAGCTCATTCACATACGACGTGTCGATGGGTTGGTGCAAAATCTTCCGTTGATCATTTAGTTCTGTGAACTTGATCCAAGCATGTGGCAACCTGGCGCCAGACTGGAACTTTGGCGTAAAGTCCGAGGCATTCGCCGGTGGCTTCGTGTCACCGTACACATACCCAATGTGAATTTCAAGCTGAAGAGGATTATGTTAATGCCTACTTCCAGAATCCAATCTGGTGGAGATGCACTTACGTTGTCAAAATGTTCACGTTGTCCCTCGACCTTCTCGGCGATTAAGTCCTGCTTGGCCGGGTCGTGGATGGCTTCATACATCCGTTTCCGGGCCTCGTTGAGGTCTTCGACATCGGCCGTTCCGATGGCCTTGAGAAAAGAGAAGATGGACTTTCCGTTTTTGACACTCTGAGCTGCAGCAATGACCGCAATGGGTCGTCTATCAGTCTCATAAGTGTCGAGAATACGTGGATTTGCCCAACCCTGGTGTACGGCAGCGACCTTGTAGGCAAGATTGTGCGCGTCAGCCAGGCCAGAGTTGAGGCCGAGGCCACCGGTTGGAGGGAATGAATGTGCTGCGTCGCCGACCCTGTGACGATGAGGATTAGTGCATTACCATCGTGCGGGAAAATTTACGGATGATACGCACAAGAACACGTTTCCACGACGGTATTCCTTCGCCACCTTGCGGCTCAATACCCATGGTCTAAAACTCATAATCCGGATCGATATACCTTGTCCTATCGCGGCCGACACGGTGGCATGTGCGAGTTCTTCCGTCCATGATTCCACAGGATGTCTCTTTGACTAGCCCGGTCAAAGTCAGTAGACGAAGAGATCAGCCTTGGGAGCAAGAACATGATCCGACTTACATCAAAATTGCTGATCAAAACCTGGTTTCCATCTATATCATATGCAATGATAAAACCAGAGCAAGCAGGGTCCGCGATCCAATGTAGCATCCCCACCCCATTCTTCACAATTGGCCGAAGATTTGCATTGAAATGTATCGTCATCATTGTCTCGTCTGCGTCCCCTTTGTAAGCTGAATTGCATGACGCGAACCATGAGAAAACTTACATCCATCTTCTCCCTCAGTCTCAATTCCCAGAAAACGTCGGACTTGGCTCTTCGCTCCATCACAGCCAATAACATGCCTGGAGGTGACTGTCCAACGACGCTTCGTGGAACGTTCTTCAACGACGGTCGTTACTTTATCCCCTCGCTGTGTGGGAGTCAATATCTTGTCTTGGAGCACCTGGAAGTTCTCGAAACTTTCTCTACTTACCTGCTCACACGAAATGAAACCAACCCCTTTTCGAATCTCAACATTTGGGTCAGTTTCTAGATGTTCTGCAACGAATTTCTCAAAATCGGGTTGCGGGATATTGTGGATCATCTTCAGTAATGCGTGTGTAAGTAATTGACTTTGGAGACAATTAGTGACGAAAATTCAATTGCTTCCATACCTCAGGTGTACTCTCCAGGACACCAGCGTCCATCCGCTCATACGGAAGGACTCCAATCTTCTCGCCCGTGAGATTTGTCAAGAAATTGACCCAGTAGGCATCATCACGAGGCGACCCTAATTGACGTATTGCTCTTGTGTCAAGTCCATATTGTCTACATATCTCAAGGGTTCTTGGGCTCAATGCATGGGCTTTAGGTGCAGCCAGCCGTTCAGGATACTTCTCAATGAGAAGTGATTTCACTGTAGACTGTTAGCGTTCTACCCCATCGAACTGGGAGAGCCCACAATTGCACAGGCCTACGTGTCAATACTTACCACCATGTTTAGACAACATGTATGCTGTGAACAGACCAGTCGGACCACCACCTGCGATGAGAACAGGTACCTCGACTGAAACATCTCCCACTTGAACATTGTCTGGTTTCAGATTACAAGATGAGAAGTCAACCTTGTAAGCGCCCTCTGGGCGTGATGGCTGGGCGATTTCAAGCATCGTTCCCGCCGGCCAAACTGTTTGTTATAAAAGACAGAACTATCTCTGCTGAAGAAACGGGGGAAGACGACAATACGGTCGTCTTTATTGCGGAAGAACGCCGATGGGATATGCTGGGAGACTTCAATCTGAGGCGCAACAGTTTCCGACGGACGGCCTCCTATTCGCTGAAAGCATTGGTTCCGAACGAGTCATTCCGATTCGTCCAGTTTTCTGGGGTAAAGGTCTGAGCGACGTCGACGTTCATGACGCTTTGTGATCCTCTCACTGCTCAGAAACTTTGACCGAAGCTTCCTTGTCTCACAAACACCCCTCAAAGGCCAACCCCCTGCATGGCATGTCCCAGATGATCGTTCCGCTCAGCCTGCCGTACTAGTGAGCTGTAGCCTCATAGCCCCGAAGCCCCGCTCATGGTTCGCGTTTCTTTTTTTGTGCTTTCCTCTTTCGACGTTTACCAAAAGTTCCAAAGCCTCTGCGCTTTTGCGATCTTATCAAAATGGAGACGGAGATCCCCACTGCAGCCGTTAGATCATCGGACAACCCGAACTCTGGTAACAATCTCAAGAGGAAGCGAAGGCCTCGTGCGCCGATAGCTTGTGGTACATGTCGGGCTCGTAAAGTCAAGGTTGGTAAAGCTCTGATGATGCCTTCAACGAACAGACATGTTGACCACATCCCCTTCAGTGTGATGGTAGTTCGCCATGCTCCAACTGTGTTCGTGAGTGTGTTGTCCTCCCCAGGATAGATACTTTTGAGGACTGACATGGCCTCCTCAAGGACACGAATTCTCGTGCTCGTACAAAGAAGGACAGGAAGACCCGTATGTCATAGGAACATAATGAGTTCTGATTGGGGCTAATTTATCCCACAGACCGAGTAAGAGGTCATCCTCATACGATCCCACCGGCCGCCTGCAACAACGTTTGCAGCCTCAACCTCAGCTGATACCTCAGCCACAGCCGTCATTGCCTGAGCATCTTCATCCATCACCAGTTAGCCTAGATGAACCAATTAAGCACGAGAACCCAATCCAGCTGAACCCGCAAGAGCCAAGCCGCATGGACAGAGGTTCATCTACATCTTCGGAACAAGAAGTAGACGGCCTCGGCCAGGTCAACGAGCATACCGAGGGGGCCGAGTTTTACGGACCCACGGGAACATTCTACTTCCTCGCCCGGCTTCGCTCTCGGGCGAACACCCAGAAGCAACCGGAAGCCGGCACGCACCGGAAGCAAAGCTCCATTGTAAATCTCCTGCACAGTTCGGATTACTCGACACCCCCGGACTCTCGCATTCTCGGTCAGAACCAATTTGCAAAGGCAAGTCCGCAGAGCAATGGCGGCAGAAGGGAGTCTTATCAGCAAGGCGTTATTGCCGATGTCGTCCTCAGCGCGGTGGATGCCGCGTTCGCGACGGAGCTTGAGCGGGAATGTGTTCGCCTGTACTTCCAAAATCTGCACAACATCCACCCAATCCTCGAACAGATGACCTTTCTCAAGAGATGTGAGGAAGAAATATGGTCAAGGCTCTCAAGGCCAGACATAATGATTTCCGCTCAAATGCGTCGGGAAGCAAGGTTTCTGGCACTATACAATGTTGTCATTGCTATCGGCGCTATTACCGCAGGAGAGACATCCTTACTCATGGAAGACCACACCAAAGAGTTCCTGGACCGCACTGGACAAACCAGCGACGAAGAGGCACTCTACCCACCTATTCGTCTGGCGAGAAGATTCTTCGAAAGGTCAAGGCTCCACCTTGAAGACATTTGCGAGTCGAGTTCGCTTGAAACCGCGCAGACACTATTTCTCATGGTCAGTTCCAGGCAAAACGTTCAACGCCGAGGTATTCTGAGCCAGTTAACTGACTTCAAAACTACAGTCGGTATTTGGTCAAAATGCGTTGAAGCCTCATAGCTGCTACATGTATAGCGGTATGGCGATAAGGACTGCGTCAGCCATGGGCATCCCGACTAATACACGTTCCGAGACAAGCCCAGAAAGCTTGCTCTGGTGGTAGGCAATCGCGAACACGCTCGTAAATGTATGTAGTGCTAACCTATCTAGGTCTCTTTACTCACACGAGATGTAAGTTGCGCACCGTACTTGGTTTTGTTCATTCGGAACGCTGACCAGTTAGCGAAATGTGTTTTTCTGCTGGGCGTCAATCAGGACTACGTGCTCCGAGCTCCTACTCAATCCCGTTTCCAAAAACCTCGGTGAGTTTGGGCCCGAACCAAAAGATCAAGTGCATGTTGCTAAGAAAATATCCAAGCATTTCCCCAACTCGGCGTATTGTTTGATCAATCCTATGGTTGACTTAGCCAAGATTCTCATGTGGATGACAGACAACCTGGGTCTGCACAGTAGTCACACGTCCTTCCAAAGGCTGTCACAGACTGCGCTCAACCTGGACAGGGAGTTGGATGATTGGAAGTCTGGGTTACCAAGACAGCTCCGTTTCGACACATCATCGCTAGAAGACAGTGAATTTGCTATGAAGCAAAAGACTGTTCTCAAGCTACGTATGCTTCACCAGCTCGGCGTACCAATGCGCTCGTCTTACTAATGTACACGGGCAGGTTTCCTGAACGCCAGAATTCTTCTTCACCGGCAATTCATCATCTCGAAGACTCAAGAAGCGGACCGTAACACGGTCTCGCGACACGTCAAGTCGTGTGTAAAAGCTGCCACGGAGACCATCAAATTCATGCACACAAGCTACCTTCACAGACCTTACTTCAGGACATGGTAACATTCTCACACTGCTTGGATTTCGAACACGAACACAGCTAACTCGAAACAGGTGGTACAACTGTATGTACCTACTAGACGCCTGCATGGTCCTGCTACACGTCCTAATCTCCAACATCTGCCCCTTCCCCGCCGAAGAGGTCATGGAAAACATCGAGCTGAGCCTCGACATCTTCAAAGCAATGAAGATGCTCGCAGTGGCTAGACGATGTGCCGACATTGTCAGAGAACTGCTCAACGTCGCAGCGAAAACACATTCAGTACAACAGCGTCAGACGAGCGTGGCCACGGAAGCCGAGCCCGCACTAAGGATGCACGATGATGTTAACCAGCTGATCCAGACTTCTCCCGCATTCATGTCAGATGGAATTGGCCTCCATCCGGGGGACACCGAGCTTGGAGACGCTATGATTCCTGGGGACTTTGATGCGAACTTGGTGGATCCTAATGTTGTTTGGAACTTCTTGAATTTTGAGCATTGGAATGCGTGGTCTGATGCAGCCTTCAGATGAACATTGTAACAACAGCATGACATCACGTATGATACAAGTAGCATATAGTTTCAGTGGCTAGGGCGATGCGCTTAGATGAGCAAAGAGTCCAATTAGCCTTGTAGTGATATAGACCCCGTCCGTTTCCCAGTGAATCTGAATAAGCCTTTCGGCTGCATGCGCATAGTATGCACGAGATTGCCTTAGTGTTACGTTGGAGCACTCCTCAGCTTCCTGATTTGGGTGGGATTGGTGGAACAAGCAAAGCCGTCAGAAGGTGGGAGATCAGCTAGGTGCTGCATCAAGTCTTGGCAGTCCTCGATTCACCAAGATGTCAGAGTTGGACTCTTGGAGTTTGAGGGCGTCTGCAGGTCTTGGCGGACAAACTCATGATGAATTTACCACGACTAGCATTCATCGAATAACGCCAGATATTGCCACCAGTTTCGATCTCACAGTAACGCAACATGGTCGCACGCAATGGCTCTTTTGTTAGATCGACCAAGTCAGTCAACAGATACCTCACATGTATAAAATCAGATTCAAATTCGCAACTCTCGTCGCATCCCTCTATGCTTGAGTTATCGGTCTAGAATTACACCTATCATGCGTTCTATCACTATTTCAGGGCTAGTGGTTGCCATTGGCCTTGTTTCCGCTCAGTCGACCAAAACCACCTCGACCCGAACGACCTCAACAAGCACCATAAAATGGCAAGCCTCCGGAGGCGTACCTTGCCCACACCCATCGGTCAACACGAAATGGCCAACAGCCACTGGAAGCACCTCATTCCCTACTGCCTCCCTGATCCCAGCCAACGCGGTCTTCGATGGCAGTATGGCTCTCTTTGACCGCAAAGGCAGCTCCGGCGACTGCAAAGGCCAGACCGAGCAAGATGAGGCTGCTGCTGTATTCATCTTGGAGAGCGGGGCGACGCTGAAGAACGCCATCATTGGCCCTGCTCAAGCTGAGGGCGTACACTGCCGCGGTCCCTGTACCATTGAGAACGTTTGGTGGGAAGATGTGTGCGAGGACGCGGCTACGTTCAAAGGTACTGGACCGAGATACGTCAGGGGCGGAGGAGCGAAAGAGGCCAGTGATAAGGTCTTCCAGCATAACGGTGAGTCTTGAGAGCTGAGACGCCGCGACAATTGATCCAAGCATTAAAGTCCTAATATCGTTGACTCGCAGGCGAGGGATGGCTGCACATCGACGGCTTCTATGCCAACAAATTTGGGAAGTTCTACCGGTCATGCGGCAATTGCAGCCAGCAGTTCCAGCGACATGTCAACATCACCAATTTTGTTGGAATACAAGGAGTAATTAGTAAGTTGCATGGAATATGAGTCTCAAGCCAGGAGATGAGCGTTTTTCACCCTTGGAACTTTTCCGTGCTGACGACTGCTAGTGGGAGTAAATCAAAACTATGGCGATACTGCTACTTTGTCCAACTACTGTCTCGCAAAAATTGGAGTCATCTGCACACGCTACGAAGGTTGCGTCAAGCCGTGTGAAGCTGGGGAGATTGGCGAGGGAGCCCTGGCCCCATACTGTGTCGTTAACGGTCAGGATTGGTCTTGATATTAGTTCTATTTCCTAACCTTGTTGCCGTCATGGGCGTGATTGCTCTTTGGAGACAATTTGTTCCATGAACTTGAATCGAGAAATAATCATACCGAAACTATACTTATTTTGTTGCTTCCTTGAAAAGATTCGACCGGGGTATTGAGTCCGGCACGGCCAAGAAGGGAACGGGGCCGGCCGGAGCGGGGCCGGCACTCAGCTTACCATGCCCATGTGCCGCGATGATCTCGGTCAACCCTCGTTGGCTGGCCAGTGTTTCCGTTTCTTCCGTCTCTTCAGTCATATGCATTTACCCCGCAAAATCTTACCGCGATCGCCTTCGTGCAACATAAGTGCCCCGTGGGGAGCAGCCGGATAACCCGAGAGAGGTGCGCAACATCAAACTCTAACTACCTGTAGCCATTCATGTGAATCGGCTCTATACATGAACTCAGGAAATGCCGAAGAGGCCCGTGCCTTTCGATATAATGGCTTTTCGTCCACCCGAGCCGCACCTGCGGTATACCTCTCGGGCGCTCTATGGTAAACTTCACATAATGAGCAACTTGAATGACCAGAAACAGTCAGGGTATCTGCTGGTGGCCCTTCAAATAACACCAACAGTCTTTCTATTTGTTTGGCTTCTCTACCAGCGTCTGTTCTCGCCATTCGCCAAAGTTCCCGGACCCTACTGGGCCAGTCTTTCAAGACTATGGCTTGCGTATCACTCGTATATTGGTGATCTTCACGTTGTGACGATGCGTCTGCATGAGGTCCATGGCAAGATTGTGCGCCTTGCGCCAAATGAAGTGTAAGCAATACAGGCAATAGATCGAATGCAATGCCAAGAGCTAAACTTTGGGGGACTCTTTGCTAGGAGCATCTCGGATCTCACGTCCATAAAGACAATCTACGGTAAGAGATCAACACATCATCATTCTTTTGTAGGTCAGCGTTGAATGTGAATATGTTTAGGCGCGGGGTCCAAGTTCCGCAAGTCCGACTTTTACAGCGTCTGGCAGGGGAGGCGTAAATTCGACATTTTTCCTGAACGAGATGATCGAGTTCACTCGGCCCAGCGTCGTCTCATCAGTAGGCCATATGCAATGACATCCTTGAAAGAACTCGAGCCATACGTTGACAGCGCCATCCAAGGCTTCCTCGAAAAGCTGGGCGGCATGCTTGGGAGAACAGTGGATCTAGGAAACTGGGTTCAACTCTTTGCTTTTGGTACAATCTCTCCGTCAGGTTTCTCTCAAGTCACGAAAGACGATTTACTAATAGAAAGTCTCCGTAGATGTGATAGGAGAAGTCACTTTCTCGAAGCGATTCGGCTTCATGGATGTCGGGTCCGACGATGGCTCTTTCAAGCAAATCGAGACTGCGCTACGATCTGCCGCTTGGATCGGCCAAGTTCCATGGCTTTACTGGACTTTTGACTACTTATCTCCCTTCATTGGGACGTGGCTCGGAATCGCATCTCGTCACGGAAGCCTGCGTAAGTTTGCTGCACGCGAGGTCGCCGCCAGACAAGACCGAGGATCCGACCACCAAGACATCTTGACGAAGCTGTTTGCCGTTCATAAAGAGAAACCCGAACAGTTTCATTATTCTGACTTGGTCTCTATGGCGAATTCCAACATATTCGCTGGAAGTGACACAACCGCAATTTCGATCCGGTCAATCATCTACCATCTTTTGAAGAACCCTGAAGCGAAACGTCGACTTGTTGAGGAAGTCGATGAGCACTGGAGACAAGGGAAGCTTAGTGATCCGATTACTGTTGCAGAATCTGAGAATATGCCTTACCTGCAAGCGGCGATGTATGAAGGCTTGCGAGTGCATCCTGCTGTCGGCATGACTCTTCCTCGTGTCGTGCCCCAAAGTGGCTATGATATTGGTGGCTACCATATGCCAGCCGGGGTAAGTATCGTCTCAATCTTCACGACTCTAAGTCACATGAAACCTATACTTTGGATCCTGCTGTTAACATGCATCATGCTTAGTCTGTCGTCGGCGTCAACCCTTGGGTTGTTCATCGTAGTAGGGAAGTGTATGGCCAAGATGTTCATGAATTTCGCCCTGAGAGGTGGCTCAAAGAGGACAATGGCGATATGCGTAAGGTTCCATGACTAGTCGTGCTTCCACTTTCTGACCAAATTCTACATAGACCGTTTCTTCTTCGCCTTTGGATCCGGAGCCCGGGTGTGCCTTGGTCGGAGTAAGTGCTCTCGCGAGCATTTGAGTCCAATAGCGTTACTAACTTATAGGCGTAGATATTAGCTGGATGGAGATGGCCAAGGTCCTATCCCTAAACGCCCTTGGCTGTGCTCTCTGCTGACAATGTTACTGTAAAGCTTATCCCGACCCTCTTCCTGCACTTCGATCTCGAGCTTACTAACCCTGAGGCATTCTTGGAGGATAAATGCTAGTAGGTATCCCACCGTGAATGATGTAATTGATTGGTTTGCTGACCATTGTTCCAGCTGGTTTGTTTCCCAGAAAGGCTTGGATGTTAGGCTTCGACGAAGACAGCTGCCGACCAGGGAGGGACACAAAGTCCAAAGTTCGGACGCCATTCATTCGTAGCTGGCTCTAGACTAGGAAATACACGTTCACACCCTCATCAGGTCCGGTTTGACAGGATTAGGTCCATTAATACGGAATGGTAAATTATCAACCTTAAGAGTAGCTCAAGTTGGTTTCTCACGAATCAATTTTTATAAAATTCCAGACTTTTAACAAATTATTTCTTGTGTAATGATGTGATCTGCTAACTCTAGCCTCTTTATCATCATTTCCCAATATTCATGTCTAGCCTCACATGAGATTTATCGCGTCGAAAAGTCTGCTCAAACTAGACCTTGGAAGTCGCATGCTCCGTTTCCTCCACCTCAATGGGGCCATGTCCCTTTCCATTCTCCGCAATCCGGACGTTTGCTTCTTCACCATCAAAGATTACAGCAATTTCCTCCAAAGCTTTGCCCTTAGTCTCCAGGAACCATCCATAAGCGATGCAAGCCTCTACAGCCAAGATAGCAACATAGACGATATAGAATCGCCATCCAATGTTCTGAATTCCAATCGGGTTGACATATTGGTTGACGAAGACGGCTGCCTTGGTTGAGAAAACGTATGTTGCCATGCCCTTGGCGCGAATGGAGTAGGGCAAAACCTCGACGGAGTAAGCGACCGGCAACGGTGAGAAGGCGATGCAGTAAAAGACTTGGTAGATGAAGATGAGGGCCATGACGGCAATTCCGGCGGAGCTGGCACTGGTCTCGGCGAAACGGGCTGAGGCGATGGTCCAGCCGATGAAGACCACGAGCATGCCACAGGTTGAGATGCGGAAGAGAGGGCGGCGACCGATACGTTCGACGAAGAATGCAGTTGTCAGGGCAAGGCCGAAATTCCAGATATTGAGTAGGCCATTGACCAAAGCCTGGGTGTTCTTGTTTGTGATGCCGACGGTATCCATGATTCTCGAAAGGTCTAGCCCGGTTGATGTCAGCATCAAGCGATGATCCAGGCGAATCGTCGTTTACTTACAGTAAGCAATCAGTCCGTTACCAGACCACTGCGAGAAGAAACCCATGCCTATTCCAACCGTTAGTATGAAAATGGGACAAAATCTTGCAGGATTTGACAAGTTTCTTACAAATAACGAGGAACATGCGGTATCGGTTGCCTTTGGTTTTGACCATTGATGCCCAAGTAGTGCTTCCAAGTCCTTTGATGACAATTAGTAGATGGTTCCATACTTCATGGGCTCTTTTGGCTTACTCTTTTCATTGTCAATGGCGGCTCTGATCTCCTCAAACTCCAATCTGACTAACTCCGTCTCTTCACCTTCGCCGTGGTATTGTTTCAAAGCCTCCATGGCCTCATCCCCACGATCATGTGAGATGAGCCATCGAGGAGACTCAGGGACAAACCAAATGGCTGCGAGCTGTACCACACTAGGTGCCATCTGCAAAAGTGACGGGATTCGCCAAGACCAGGTGCTGGGGATGTTTCGAGTGCCATAGGTGATCCAGGCTGCCGCGATACTACCGACATACCAACTGTCAAGCACACATCGTCAGCCCTTATTCCCGTTGTCTCCAACTGATTGGTTAAGAGAGTACATACCAGGTATTGCAGATAGCTGTGATGGTGACGCGATCCTTGGGATGCGACAACTCACTAACCAAACTCGGCGCCGAAGTCGTTGCAAAAGAAAGACCAAATCCAAGGATAAATCTGCTCACCACAAACATGGCAAAGGCAGTACTCTCGCACTGCAAGATCGCACCAATGATCATGATGCAACTTCCTGTCGTGATGCCCCATCGTCGTCCAAATTTATCAGCAACCCAGGGAGCAATGGGCGTGGAGCAGATGCTCCCCAAAGCCATGATGGCACTCATTAAGCCGAGGACCGCGCCGCGCGGGTTGTCGAAGAAGTCGTCAAAGTAGGACACGGTCTGGAGGGAGTTCATCATCGAGCCATCGTATCCGCTCGTGGCGTAAGAGACGACGGCGGCGGGAAAGAGAAGGAAGTAGAGCTTTCGGCGGGCAGCGGATTTGTACCATATGGGAGACTCCTGGGCGAGTTGGGCGATGCGAGAGGGTTGGTAGCTCTCGCTCGCGGCCGCCGGTCCGCCTTGCTGGCGAGCTTGTCGGGCTTGCTGGTCTTGCCTCGGGGCAGGGAGGCGTTGGCGAAGGAAGTTCATTGTGGCAGTATCTTGGAAGAACAGACAGATTGACAAGAGCTTGGCCAGAAGAAAGGAGACAAGGTTGGCTCAGCAGTGGAGATGAACTTCTGAGTTGACAACCGGAACCAGATAGCTGGGATCTTGCGTGTCCTTATATGCGCGTGGTCAAATTGAGCTGCCGAGGTGGAAAGATGTCAACAACTCTCTAGAACGCTCCGAGACTCTGCTGGGTTCTGCTCCTTGGATTGGTGTCAAGTCGTCTGGTCAAGCGACGGCGTTACGAAGTCGGCATATGGGTCTAGGCGAAGAAGAAATCCAAATTGAGCGATGTTGCCATTGGCGCGGGAAGCTAACCCTTCACACCCACAGACGACAATGATGGCTGAACCGTAAGCCTGGGACAAAAGACTCTGCCTGCCGAGGAAGACTTGGGAACTATCGAGACAAAGACAGGGGTTGGCAGGTCAAGTCGGATGATGGGATGCGGAGAAGATCCGGGGGCTGGGGTAAAAGCAAACTCGGTCCCCACATCCGGGGCATCACAAGATGAAGTTGTCTAGACAAGTCTCTGAGGAGAAACGAACGATTAGGAGTTGCGGATGAAGTCAAGCTCGTCTGACTCGTCCGATTGTTTCCGTAGAATGGAGGGTAGCAAAACCGTGTAAACTAGTGAGAACAACACAAGATGTGTAGCGTCGGCCGACGATAGTGTGGAGTACGCATGAGATCTCTGGTTCCTCTTTTCCACAAGATTGACGAATCATAAGCTTTCGGGGGAGCTAAATGCTTTCCCCGATCTGGTCTGGGCACTATCGGGGCATCCAAAACCTTCCCCCTAGCGCCCTTTGAGTCCTCCGGTTGATGTCGTCCGTCGTCTAAGCTATGCGGGGCATCCAAATGAGTCCCCCGACTTGGGAACGTGGGGTCGGGGAAGCATCGATGTCTGCCCCGAACGTCCAACGCGGGGACTTTCGGTCGCGTGTTGGTTTTCGGCAGCGCGTATGTACGAGTTCAGTCAACCGATGCTTTACTCAGAGAAGATGGGACGCCATGGGGACTGTTGTGTGGACGTCATGCGCAGACTCCGCAATGGGAGTGACGGATTCCACGAGGTTCTGGCTTGGTACCGTTGCGTACATGTGAACGGTCCTATTTAGTAGCTGGACTTGCCCTTGGGGTTGTCTGGTTCCTGTTCTTGAATCTGTCATCCTCACTCGTTTTGATCCAATCTCATTGCAACAATGTCAAACGGAATCCTCAGAACGTCTGGCTCCAGCATTGTCGATGCTGAGGGCAAGGCCGTCCTCCTCCGCGGCGTAAGTGTCCACGACTTTACAGCCAGCACGTGAGCGCCCGAGAATCAGTTACTGACCGGTGTTCGCAACTTAGACGGCCCTCGGTGGCTGGATGCTGATGGAGAACTTCATGAACGGCTTCCCCGGCCGTGAGCACCAGATTCGTGCTGCACTGCTGAAGGTGCTCGGCAAGGAGAAGTGCGATTTCTTCTTCGACAAGTTCCTCGAATACTTCTTCACCGAGAAAGACGCTGAATTTCTTGTCTCAATTGGCTTCAATTGCATCCGCCTGTCCTTCAACTACCACCACTTCGAAGATGACATGAACCCCTTTGTGATCAAAGAGGAAGGCTTCAAGCATCTTGATCGCGCAATTGAGATTGTAGGTTCCTTTAATGTTTCTCGGTGTCTTCTTTTCGACTAATGTTTCTTCGTGTAGTGCGCCAAGTACAAGATCTACACAATCCTCGACCTTCACTCCGCCCCCGGTGGCCAGAACCAAGACTGGCATTCCGATAACCCGACTGGCTACGCTGCCTTCTGGGACCACAAGCATTTTCAAGACAGAGTCATCAACCATTGGCAGGTGATAGCGAAGCGATACAAGGGAAACCCATGGATCGCAGGATACAACCCTCTCAATGAGCCCGCCGACGTCGAATGGACTCGTCTGCTCGCCTTCTACGATCGCATCGTCCCCGCCATCCGCGACATTGATCCCGAACACATTCTCTGGCTCGAGGGCAACACGTTTAGCATGGACTTCTCCGGCTTCACAAAGGTGTTCGATAACTCTGTATATGCGGTGCACGATTACTGTGGATTCGGCTTCCCGAATCGCATTGGTAGATACCAAGGTCTTGCAGATCAGGATGCCTATATCCGCCAGATGTACGACCGAAAGGTTGCTTTCATGAAAGAGCACAATGTGCCGATCTGGAACGGTATGGAAGGCCTTAAGCATGATTAGACCTGCTACTAACAATCAGGGCGTAGGCGAATTCGGTCCGATTTACGAACGAAAGGAGTACAACCCAGACTACGAAGAGCACAATGAGGAACGGTACAAGATGCTTGACAAGCAAATGGCAATCTATACCGACGAAGGCATTGGTGAGATAACTTGCCACACGAAATCTTCGAACATTTGCTAACAGGTCTATCCGCAGCATGGAGTATCTGGGCCTACAAGGACGTCAACGTCATGGGCATGACCTACCTATCCCCCGATTCCGCATGGCTGAAGCTCCTCGGCCCGATGATCCGCAAGAAGCGCGACCTCGCCGTCGACAGCTGGGCCTACGACGATGCACACCTCCAGCCCAACCTCTTCGGCCCCCTTCACAAGTGGTTCGAGGACAACGTCCCCGCACAATACAACAAGAAGTACCCGTGGCAGTGGCGCATGC